TCAAAAGAACAGATCATACGATGGACACTTCCGAACAGAACTTTGGTTTCAGACGCCTCCGTGCCGGTTTTGGTGGCTCAGGGCATCAATTGATACCACTGAAGTGCCTCTGACCGGGAGGGGCCCGATGGTGGCAGGATTTTCGACACTAGTTACATAGCTAGGTCGAATTCAGCCGCTGTCTGGGAGGAGAATTCTAGCAGCTGGCTTCTCTGATCAATAGTTTTTCGTTGTTTCTCCAATCAACACCAGGCGAATGCCGGAACAGTAACCTTACAAACTGACCGCGCACGATCTTTCCATCCCCTTCCTTATTCTTACGTCATCCCTTACTCACACTTACAATTACTACACTACCACACATGCCGAGAGACCAGACGGAAGCTTAGAGGTTGTCCCGGTTGGGGCGGTGTTCAGTGATAAAATTTACCTGTTTGGGGAAAACTCCACAAACTGACGGGTAAGTCAAAGCCGGATGTCGACATCCAGCGGGGAATGATCGCCAATATCCCACGATAAAAAAACACGCGCACTAGCGGGACTAATTACCTTAGCAGTTGAAGCGGCTGAAATCCCTAATCAATCAATGGGACGCTCTCGTGCGATCGCTCCGCGCGCATGTGTCTCGGCAGGGCCAGCGCAGCGCCGACGTCATCGTGTCGTCCATGCTGGACGACGCCGTGCGCGCCGCCATTCCCGAGTGACCTCCCCAGTCGCCCCCGCCTGATTCCACCTGCGGGCTCCAGGCGCCACCGTCTGCCTCTCTCTCTCTCTCTGCGAACGTTCATCTAGGTTCGGTCACCACCTGCGCTCTTCGAATGTATCTCGTGCATGCAGATATGATGCCGAGTAATAAATATTTTTACTACTATCTACCGTTTCAATTCAAGTGTAATAAACGCAAACACATTCACACCTACATCCAATATATATATATATATATATATATATATATATATATATATATATATATATATATATATATATATATATATATATTGTGTGTGTGTGTGTGCGCGCGCACGCGTTTATTTTCGCCTACGTACTCGATGTTCTAAACGAAAGCTGAAACTCATTTTCTCGGGTTAGGAAATCTTGAATCCAGTGCAGTCTTTAATAGTTATAAGTACTTGCATAACTTATTAGTACAAAAATTAGTTTTTTATGAACGAATGAAATATTGACAATTGAAATGAAATTTTAAAATGAGTTCGCCAAAGACATTTTCGTACGAGTTGCGTACATTACCTTTCGATATGCATTTATGGAAATTTAACGAGTATATACTCTTGGGATCATTCTCAATATGCGAGGCGGCAGCAGTCTTGATTCATGTCGCCGTACGTGTAGAGAAGAAACACATCTCAGGTAAGTCCAGCTTCCAATGCCCGAGGACTGGAACGGAGAACTCGACTCCATCTTTAATTTCGATAAGGCCAGTGATTTCCATCTTTATAACAAAATATTTGGACAAAAAACACATCGAACTAATACGTCGTATGAGTGGAGAATAGAGAACACAAATTAAGATCCAGAACGTTTAAGGAAAGTTGTTCATCAATTGCGACAAATCATCTGATAACAAAACAAAAAATTGAGCCTGTGGAGTAGAAAACTGTTCTCATCAAAGAAACTGAAAAAAAACAACAAGAAATGAAATTATGTAACGAGTAACCTAATTGTGTTACATCTTGGAATAAACTATTTGAACCGAAAAATTAGCCCCAAGAACCTTGCAGAAATATGCTAAATCAGTGGTTCAGTGTGTATCAACCGTATGTGCAAAAGGGTATTGTAAGAGCATCTACATATTTACATTTTGCCTAAAAAACAAACTATTATACAGACTCTAACTAAAGCACTATATTTCTGGTCAAGAATATTGTTCCATTGACTAAAAAATACATCAGCTTCACCTCCCACTTACTATCCTCATCCAAATCCAATAAATATTATCTGAGTACACAAAAGGATATAGTAGTTGAAAAAAAATGTACAGCAACAGTAATTGCTATATTCGTGAAGACTTTTTGTAAAAATCCTTAATTTATTGCAGTGTTATATGAGAGTACATAACTGCGGTCACGATTACCATGTATTATATTTGAAGCACCTGAAAGGCGCAGGGGACTTGGTAGAGAGAAACACTGGTTGATGATTGCATGTCAAAGAAAAACAACACAGTTGCGAAATTCTGGTAAAAGTGAGGATTTATCCTCAAATACATACACTTACAGAAACTTAGAAATCTACTAACTCAATTGTTCAAATACCTTTGAAGACATTTCGTGTCAATTTTTGGCAAAGCTTCAAAAATGGGATCCCGTGTAAATTTCCTTCAGTGATACCTCTTACTATTAATGCACTCTACATCATATTTAACGCCAACCAATTTTATCAACATATAATTTACAACTCTTTAATATCCTGAGTTCATTATCAAATTTGATTAACTTTCACGTCCAAAATTCCCAATCTTATTTAACAAAAAAACAGTTTAAAACAAGAAAAACATTACAAGTTATTTAACTCTTAATCTGTGATTTTACTCTCTTGATTTGTAATTCTTAAATCTGGAAAGCATATTCAATTGTGACTTGTTTTTAAAATGATTCTCCTTCCTAGTTCTAGTTAATAATCCGAACTAAGTAGAATGTCAATCTCCAATTTCTCATGAGTCATAGCACTCAAATTAACTCTCACCTAGAGATGCTACAGAATAGCAGGGCCTTCCTTATTAGTGTTCTATTTTCTTCGATCTGGGCTAGCTATTCTGACTTACCACATACTCTTGCCAGCTATTATCTATCGCCACCCAAGATACACTTTTTTTTAAATTTTCTTAGTTTTTCGATATCCTATATTGTAGAACGTAAATATTATTTTAAGAATAATAAATAAGAGTAAAACCTCGTCATAAATGTCAATTTTTATAGTAAAATATGGAGCCATTTTTGAGAAAATCTCGTGTGTGCACTACTGTAAATTAGAATTTTGAAGCTTTTTTACTTTCAAATTTTTGGGTTTTGGACCCGGTTAGCATGCGCTAAGTATCATTTTATTTCTGCGAAGTAGGGCTCCACCCAGTTTGTGCGCTACAACGATTTCCACCTATGCTGTCTGTGTAATGTACGTTATTTGCACTAGACCACTCGCACGAGAAAATTTTGTAGTACTGTGGTCCAGCTATCATGTTCTGTGATGTTGTCATATAATCAAATGCTTAAGTGCAGTGATTATTAAATGTAGTTGTGCAAGAACTTCTCTTCTAAAAATCCCGAACTCCTACATAAATCCTCTCTGAGCTATCAAAGGGTTTCAGGACTGCTGTGCTCTGCCTTTAACTTATCAAAACAGTCCACTTCAAAACATCCAGAATTAAGTGCAGTAGCCCAAACAATATGGTTTTTACCTACAAGTCCAAGAAATGACGTGTCTGCAACAACCTCATTCATGCGGTACTAGCCGCCACTGCCAACCTCATTCAAAAAGCTAATGTGCAACGAGAATCATGGGAATAACAAAAGTTACTATACGCTGATTTAAGCATATTTATTTCAGAAGTAGCACACAATTCAATAATATTTGTTTCGACCTCAGTTTCAGAATTCACGAAGTGATGGGAGTGGTTCACTCATGGAGCTCGTTCATAACTCCGTGGTTCACTGCCTCGTTAATGTTATTTAGATGAAAACAGTACAATATTCGTACAATAATATTGCCCAGAGCAAAGGCGCGCAATAAAGTGTTAAGCGTGCGTCCGCTCTGAACCATCTCCCACATTAACTTTGTTTTGCTTACGTCGTATGAAAATATTTATTTATTTACGTCAAAAACAGTTAAAAACCGTGTGTGGCGTGCTATGGGGATAAGTTAATTGCTGCGGAAAATTGACCTCAGTATTCCAAGGAAAACGTTATGGGATCCCGAAAAAGTGTTGTTGTTGTTGTTGTTGTTGTTGTTGTTTTTGTTGTTTTTTTCAAAACGTCTGTCCGTTCGCTTGTGAACACGGATTATTGCCAAAACCATAAGTAGGATTTTTTCCAAAATGGATTCCCTCATCTGGTTCGACTCGAGGCACTACGATTTTGGATAGCTTCCTTTAAAGTTTCGTTCGTTCAGGTCGGTCGGGTCAGTCGGTCGGGTCGGGTCGGGTCGGGTCGGGTCGGTCGACCCATGACAGTGAACACTAGCGGCTAACCATTCATGCGAATTTCTCCTTACTTGATATTTCCCAATTGATCTGGCTGATGTTGCGGCCCCTTTCATTTGAAAGTTTAATTTTTTCAGGGTATATCTTTGTAAGAAGCTCCTGGCCATTTTACAAATTTCACAAAAATGGTTCCATTGCTTTTTTTATTAAATTTTGTAGTTGAATAGTGTGAAGGATATGTAAGAGAATTGTGCAGGTGTCATGTTTATTAAAAACCCTGAATCTTTTTGAATTGCAAATGTTTTCAGAGTCTTCTCACAAATGAAATTATAGTGATTTTTTTTCTTTTTTGTTGCTCAAAGATAGATTTTTAAATAAGGTAATTTACAATTTTTCGAAAATTTGAATACATTTCACGTGATTTTGTGTGGAAACTTGAGGAGAAAGTAAGTACATGCGATTTTAGCAACCATAGTTTACATGTCATCAATGACATTCGTTGATATATTAGAAATATAAAATGCACTCTCATAGCGGAACGTATTCATGTATTATCAAGAATATGATATTGTAGTTTTGTCAGAACCATCTTATTCGATTAAACATAGTTTAATGAAAAAACAGTTTATAATTGTCATCAAACAAAAATAATTTAATATTTCAATTTTGTGTCTAGCACCACACTAAATTTTAGATTACTCATAGCCAAGCAAATAATGTTATCAGCCCTACAACCAGTATTTGGTATTCAAATCAAATATATAGATTTAATAGTAACACGTGTCAATGTATTAATAAAAATTTCTAATATGAAACATAAGGCAATATTACTTGAACTGTATGTAACAGCCTACCAAGTTCTCATTGATTAATCTTTCAATTTACATGCTATGGTCCACAACTGATGATCTTCAGTCCTAGAATGGGGATCATGCCCACCCTTCAGCACTGTCTGAATTTTCACTTGGAGGCTTGTGTGCAACTCTCGAGGTCAGTGAAAGTGCAAAAGGCTAGTAGAGTATGATAGTAGTGGAAAAAGGAACAGAAGAAAATTTGTGAAAGAAAAACAACTATTTTCAGCTGGTTATGAGCTTTTCCTATAACATTGAATTTTTTTATTACATACGCAAAAGATACACAGCTGATCATCACAGGCTATTATGATATTAAAGTACATTATCTGCTGCATTTCGTTAAGAATATATATTTATAAAAAAAAGAAAAACAGGTCGCCTGCCTGTAAAAAATGCAGTTGGCAACATTTCAAGTCCTTTCTCTCAAGGATATTCAAGAAATAAATACTAACGTCAATTACTTCTAACATGGTAAAGGTGTTCTCGACTTACGAACACTGTATAAAGTTAATGTGATAGTTCAATAAAATGAATTTACAAGCCGTATATTTATATCTACAAAGTCTATGAAAATCGTACAGAACCACAATAAACTACTTCAACACTCAAGGGCAGAGAGCAGATACAAAAGGCGAAGTAATTGGGGCAGTGGTCGTCTTTATGAACTAGACACGAGCATCTCGTTAACTCAAAATAAAATGCATTCTTTTGGAAGGAATTACATGCTACAAGTCAAACTTGGAACTGTGGCATTTATACCACTCCACACAATGACCATAAATAATTTGCTTCATCAGTAAAATTGAGAATAACTGACTAATAAAACACACAAATTTAACAAAAAATAGTTACATGGTTTTATATGATGGGCCACATCAAAAGGCTACGCACAGTACATTACCATGAAACACAAGTTGTGAAAAAGATGTTACAGATTACCATTCACGTTTATCAGTCAGCTTTCACCAGGCAATTTACTTCAAGGTTACACACAAACATGATGTAAAGTACTGCCAGCAAAGGAATGTATTATATTAACATTCATGTAAATTAACCAAATTGGAAAGTGAAGCCTCCATTGCCAAAAGCATACTGATCACCAAAGAATGCTTGGAATACTGTTGTTGGATCAACATTGGCTGCAAGAAAGAGAAAACAACTGTTTTCAAGCATTTGGGTAGTTCAAATTTCATTTAATATTACAAAGAGAGCACCAAAAATTATTATTCTAAAGATGAAAAGAGAGAAAAAACACACACACTTTAATACCAAATACATTAAGCCACAATTAAGAATACCATTTGCTCTTCTAGTAATGAAAGATTAAACTTCAAAACGTAATCACACTCTGAATTTGTTTTTAAAAATAACAATTTCAAATGCAAACCATAAAGAATTAAATACTAACCTCCCATACCATCCATGTCTTCTAAATCTTGACCATTATCATAACGTGCACGCTTCTTGGGATCAGACAAAATTCCATATGCTTCTCCAACTTCTTTAAACTTTCTCTCCTGTTCTTTCTTTTCCCCATCAGAGGCATTAGCATGCCGATCTAAAAAGGCAATTAAGAAATTAGAATTCTTTTTGTCTTTAGGTATTTCAGTAATTTTGTGGCAAGTATATTTGTCCCCTCCAAGTGAGGTTGTTAATAAATTACAACAAATATCAACATGTAATTATAAAAGTGCGTGATGTGAGAGGAGAGGGGGAGCGTGATGTGATAGGGGGAGGGGGAGCATGATGTGAGAGGACATCTGCTGTATTCCACTAGTACCTCTTTATAATTCTAATGTTTGTCTATCTTAGTACAAATCTGTACAGAGTAATCTGCTCACAAAGCAGCTAATAGGCTAAAGCATAAAAGTATTGAAAAGTATTATATACCTGGGTGGTGTACCAGAGCTCTCTTCCTGTATGCTTTCTTAATTTCATCAGTTGAGGCATTCCTGTCAATACCCAGAATCTTGTAGTAATCTTTTCTCTTAGATTTTTTTAAAGTTAACTTAGCTTCTTGAAGTAACCTTTTGTTTTCTGAAAATAAAAATAACATTGAATATTTAAAGGCAAAAAAGCACTCAAAGAGACATTCAACAAAATTTGCCATTACAAGGAAACACAATTTATTGCAATAAAAAAAGCGAAATACATTCACACTTCAAATTACAACACATTACTTCAAATACAAGTTAAGCTTATAGTCAAATTGACTTACCTTGTTTTCAAAGTAATAGAATGATATGCTTTTCTTTTCCCTCCCCATAAGGTGTACGAAAAAATAGGCAATATGTCAAGAACAAATTTATGGAAGTGTTTACGGTTTCAAATTTTTTAAGAAGAAACATTGCCAATTAGGATCTTTAATTGGTTTAGAGGACGTCACATGAAAAATATCTACTTTTTTTAGTGAGAATACGTTTAGGACAACGGTCTAAAAAATTTGGTCTAATTCTTAAAAATGTGTAATGAAATTTTATGCAATTGTCAAAAAGATCTTATCCATTTTGGTCTATTGGAAATACATGCCACAATGTTGTACACTTGATCATGTCAATATTATTGTTATTGTAATTATTATTGTTATTTCTAAAGTGAAGCCACAATATGAAATGATAAGATTCAATACGTGGTATATATATTATATTACGTTTATAATAAGAACTAGTGGTGCAACAGAATGGCACAGACTTTCTCGTACGAGATCGTATACTTCTCTTTTTAGTCTCAGCTCTTTTTTCGATTTTTGCTTAACCCCCACCCCCCAAAAAACTTCAGGTTTCAGGGAATGCTAAAATCTGCATTTCCTTTGAAATCTCTAAATCCATTTTCGGCTATACTATGTATATTACTCCCTGTACATGAATGTACGCAAGAAAGAATTAATGTGTTGAAAGAGTCAGTCTACATTTTCACTAATTGGCAGACCCTCAAATTTTAATATGTAGTTAATATGTAATTTTAATAAGAGTGCTGCCATAAGTTGATATCACCATGACCTTCATGATTTTAGGTAATTTGCTACCATTTACTCTACTTACTTTGATTAATTAGGTAGGTCTTAATAATTGGCTATTGTATTTGTACATGCCCTGGCAGCCGATCCGGTGGCCGAGATCGCTAAGGCAGTAGTGCCGTAGCGATCTCGTACAGAAAGATCGCGGGTTCGAGTCCCGCCTCGGGCATGGTTGTATTGTGTTCGTTCTTTCACCCCTATCATCCATCATCCTCCATCTCTCATTATCACCTTTCTGAATAACATTCAGAATTGTAACTCGAGGATTTATCCTCATCTCAAGGTGATACCTTTGACAGTCGACCATGAACAGTAAAAAAAGTGGAACGACTCAAGTGGTCCAATGTGGCCAATCTAGTTAATAATAACATGCCCTGGCAACAACTGACTGCTTTATTCCTCAGCTCACCTATTATATCACCTGTGTACTTATTGCACCAGTGAAATTGGACTTAATTTTAGACCTCTTGGGTAACTGAACTTTCTGTTGCATTAGACAAACTGCGCAATAGATCTCTGTCACATTGGAGCTATTGAGTACTAGACCTCCTCATTGAGAACCTAATGACCTGAAACCCTTACATGATTTGTAGAACCTGAAGAAACATGCCACATCTGCAGAAGCAATTGTCATCTATTAAAGTTTTATACAAAATATAAAATGTGTTTATAGTACATAAAATTATATTTAGAGGAGCTGATGCAACATGAACGGTCATCGGTTCAGTCAATTGGTGCTCAAAAGCGCTAAGTTTCAAAGTGACTTTTAAATAAATATTAAATAAAACACGGTCGCCAGCCAAGAAATGGCAATAATAAATTAATCCATAGTGGATATCTATTGACAATGTGCGAAGTAACATTAAACTTCTCAATAGATGGCACTTTGACTTTACCGAAGAATAAATAACTGAGAATTCAGTATACAGGAAACGGGTCAAGGGTTTTCCTAGTTACAGATATTTACAAAATTTTTGGGACACGTCCAGCTAAACAACCAATTAATTTAGAAGCGGTTTTACTAAAAGATTATGTCAAAGCTCAGATTGAATGGTGTACCAAGAAATAACAAATTAAAATGGCAGATAGCCAAAGAAAACAAAATTTACATATTTACAAAAAATTAGTCCATGTACATAATCACAGAAAAGACATGACTTATATTCACGCGCGTGAAAGAGTAAAGCGCTTTGAAGCGAGCTCAGAGCTCATTATATACAGAAAAAATTAGTTACAGTATTAATCCGCTGTCCCACATTGTGCGGGATTGATGGCATGCCAACTCAATCTATGAGTGAGATTGGCGGCTAACAAAAATAAATGACAGTAGAAAATTATCGATAAGGAGAGTGACATACCCACACTCTAGTAGTAGTTTAGTGAACTATAGTGATTACAGAGGTGTACATAGATAAATTAATTTTTACAAAAAAATAAATACATAAAGAGCTTTGTGGCTTAAATTTGCAGTACATACCGAGCTGGAATTAATTACTGAACACTTCTGGATTGGTAGAAAAATAAATAATCATTTAAAAATTAAATATTCAGTAACAAACCATAAAAATAAAGGTACGATTATTTAAATATTCTGGAGTGTGGCCACACTTTACATTGGACAATTAATCCATGAATATTTTAAGAGATACAAAAAAGAATTACCAGAACAAACAAAAAAAATAATAGTTAGAATTCACATGAAATAAAAATAATATTTTGGAGATACCTCATATTTCAGACATTCTAGTATTCTAATCAATCTAGCTAACAACTGGTTGATTATTTATAAGAATATATAAAAAATGGCAATGATTTGCACAAACAAAACTTACAAAATTGAGCCTGAATTATGACACAAAGAGCTCAATCAAGGAAAAATTTCTGGATTTTTTTTCTCAACGATTCTACATGCTTTTGAGGGTGCTGAATTCGAATTTGTTGTTTGCCCCCTCTGAAAATGTTGGCTTCAGAGAGAAAATTGCACAACACCCTCACAATTTCACCCTATTTTTAGTTTTTTGCTTATAACATCAAAACTAAGAGCGATTTATCAAAACAATTGTCCTATAAAAAATTAAAATAAATAAAATTTCCTACAAAATGCATATTTTAACATAAAATTTCTGACAAACTGTTTGGGCGCTAGAGTACGGTGAAAAACTTTATAGGCCCCTGGCCAAAGGGGGAGAATAGCTCTTCCCAGCCATCCTATCTTGCGGTGCTGCACTCCTTTCACTTTGTCATACTTGAAAACTACTATTGTGAACAAATAATTGGCATTGTTAAATGATTAACACTCTGACACTCTTATAATAAGTAGAATCATATTTTCTCGCGCGGAATATCTGTAAATCCTTGAAACATACAACAAGGTACACGTGCTTTAACTATTTTTGGATGTAGAAGAAAACCCCCTTCAATTACTTTAATTAATGGTAATCAATGGTAAATTCCTCATAACTGTTTCCAAGCAAACTAAAAATAGTTTGCATCACTGATTCTACATCATCTCTGCAGGGGCCGACTATGGCTTGTGTTCCAGTCTACTTTGCGGACTGATGCAGTACTTTCATGCACATGAAATAAGCATGTGCATCAGCAGCTATCAAGTCATTTACTGCCTCTGTCATTGGGGCATCAGAACCTTTAAGAGGCAGCAACGCTGAAGAAACTGCTTGCACTTGTATTTTCCGAGTAGAAAAAAGAGCTTTTGGATTGCGTAAAGCAAGCGCACGCATTTAATACACTGGTAGACATCACCATGGTTATGCAAAAGCAGTTTATGTGGCCCAGCAGATGGGTCTTACAGACTTTAAAGCACCCAATTGTTGGATTGAAAGATTTAAAAACAGACACCAGCTAGTGTACTGGAATGTTCGATGTGAGGCTCCAAGCATGAACTGCGAAGTAGTGGATTCTTAGGAGGATACAAAGCTTTCTAATTTTATAGAAAAATACAGCCCCAATGATGTGTTCAACGTAGATGAAACAGGTCTGTTTTATCACCTTCTCCCGGACAAGACTATAGAGTTTAAAGCAGAAAAGTTCCATAGAGGAAAACTAAACAGAGAGTAACTGTTTTGCTTTGCTGCAATGAAAATAGAACAGAAAAATTGGTGCCTTTTATCATTGGTATGGCTAAAAAACCACAATGTTTTAATAATATGAATACTTTTCCACACCAACATACTTGGAACGGAATAGCGTACGTATCATCTGTGTTTGAAGAATTTTTTGCAAGAGTGTGAGCTATATTAGGCATGAGAAATAGAAACATTCTTGTTTTCGTTGGCCAATGCGCCAAACATCCCCAAGATACATCGTATCTGAGGAACATTAAAATTTTCTTTTTCCTTCTAATTGTACCTCCAGTCACTCGACCAGGGCATTATAAAACATATGAAGCAAGCATACAGGAAGAAACTTGTATTGAAGAGATTGGCATATCTTCAGTCAATTAGAAAAATAACAATTCTAGATGCAATGCATTTTATAAAAAGTGCCTGGAATTCAGTACAACAAAGTACCATTTCTCATTGTTTCAACAAGGCCAGCTTTCTTCGAATGGTTGATAACATCACACCAAAAGTTGATGCCATTGGCAATGAAGAACGGCACCAAATAAAGAAACCAACATGAAGTCATTCAGCATTGAGGTGATGAAGGTGCCCAGTGTGATGAAGATGTTGCTTATGAGTCTCTGACACAAGACAAAGTGATAGCAGAGGTTAAAGAGCATGATGAAGCTGATGATGAATCAAATCCTTCACTCGTTCTTGCTCTATCGAAAAAGGTTGAAGCCATGGATATAGTGAAGTGATCTGTTATGACTAGAAACTTATGAATGCTATAACTGAGGTGGACAATGCAATTTTGAAGTTAGGAGAGAAAAAAAAAAAAACAATCTTCAAATGATCAATTTCTCAAACATGTATACAGTTTGTTTGTTTGTTGTTTTTTCTCACTTTTTCTTTCTTTTTTTTCTTTCTTTTTCTTTTTTTTCTGTTAATATGCTTTTGAGTGCTTTTTTTATTTGTTGTCATTTAGTTTTATTCAATGTCATTTATGAGTAAATTCGTTCATCCCTTGGATATTTGTACATCATTTACATATTATATGTATGTGTTTACATGTGTTTTACACATAAATACTATTCTAAAATAAAATTGTATACTACTGTATAATAAACACATAAATAATATTGTATAATAAAAATACAAACAAACTACATAATCTAAAATTAAGTAAAGTTATTTCTTAAGTCAGTGGTAGCCCAGGGAATGAAAGTAGAATATTAGCCATTGCGTTCAGTCTATTTACCAGATACTAGAAGATCAAGTATCTACTCTTAATGGGAAGGAAATGTCTGAAATTGTTGACGAGGAGGAGGAGGAGGAGGAAGACTAGGAGGAAAAGGTTACCTTTATACAAGCTGTTGGAGGAACTAGACACTGCTTGAAAATATTTTCAGCAATTTAATGTAGAAGAGTGTGTTGGTTTCATGCAATGATGTAGAAAACAAACTAAATGTTATAAAACAGCTCAAAACCAAAAAGGAAATGTCAATTTTAAACAGATTAAGTTTTGTAATGGTCATATCTTTTCAATTGAAGTTTTAAAGCATTATTTATTATTTTCAGAATTACGAGTTTTCAAATGAAATATGAGCTTATAATTTCCTCCATTTTTACACTTTTTTTGACCAGTCCCTAGAATGGCTTAAAATAAGGGTTTTGCTGTAATCACTTTCATCACCACCTTCTTGGAAGAGGAAATTATTGCTGCTCTACTACATATAAAAAGACAAAGTGCTCGTACCTATACAAGGCATTTTAAAGGACCGCCACTTTATCTTACAACTATCTGCCATGTCACATAAAAAACCCATTCCTTCTTTCCTCCAGGGCTCAAGTCAAATGCAAAATTATGTTATGCAACCAGCAATTTCCTTTCATTTTTCCGGTATAATTTTACGTTTTGATTTCAGGTTTTCCTAAAAATCAGTCACCTTGTTTATTGCAAAGGTCTTGCAAACAAAAACAACTGAATGCAGGTACTTTGATCAGGAATAATAAGTATTTATATGTCAATACATTCCCTAATTACTACACTTACCCCTACTCTTGTCCATTTTGCAAGCACTCTCATAGTCTCGCACTGCATCTTCATATTCTCCTAAGTCCATATAGCATTTGGCACGCCGAAGCAATGCCTTCAGGTATGTACTATCAAGTTCCAACGCAGCAGAACAATCTGCAATGGCTTCATTTAATCGGCCCAACTACAATTAAAATTAAAAAATAATGTACTTTTACATTTTGTCATATTTTGAGGAAAAAATTTATAACTGGCTTAATAATATTAAACACACACACATATTTCTCCTCCAAATCACATTTAACAAAAGATGACATGGATACAAATATTTAAAAAATTCACATCTCAAATTCGTAACCATTCAGCTTGTATAGAAACTGAAATTCACAATTCAAATATGTGACAACTTAAAAATTCACACAAAATTTTAGAATGGCCTTAGCAAGCTAGTGGTGCTACAACAGCATATAATTACTCGCATTACCTCTAAATTTGCAAATTTTGAAAATTCAGATAATTGAACAAAAAAGGCATGCCATTCTTTTAAGCATCCTTTCTTTTATCTGGGGAAAAAATTTGGAGCAGTTTATGAGAAAAAACAAGTTAAAATGTTTTTTTAATTGCCTATATTTCATGTTCAATTACAAGAAACTACTCACATTTTAGAAAAATTGAACATGAACATGTTTAAAGATCCATCCTTAAGGAACATAATTTGTATCTTCAATATTATAGTTGCAGGAAGTTGCTCCCCCAAAAAAAAGCACTTTTGTGATTTTCAAAAAATCTGAGTTTTTGATGAACATGAGACCTGCACCATTCTCATAAGTAGGGATCAGATTTTAATGACAGGTCATTTTCTTTCGTTTTCACTTTAGGACAATGCCGCTCAGTATAGAAATTCATTGACAAAATTCACACCATGACCAAAGGAAATGAACCATTTTTATAGGTCATTTCATTCCTTTTTATGTCATTTTTAATGCATTTTCCACTGCCTTCATCAACTTTGAATACTATTTTAATGGTACTTGCTTCAAACAATATTTACAAGAGCAACAGATAATCACCACAGAATTCCTGAGTAGCCTATTCGATTCCTTCGCTTATACATTGCAATGTAAGCAGTAGTGAGAACTATGTTATCTAAGGTTCCTGTGATGCCAATCAGCACCAATGTCAATTCAGCTGATTTCGCGATAAATAAAGGCAAATATTTTCTTTTAAAGAACAGTCTAAGCCAAAAGTTTGTGAGCGGAGCTCACTTACAAAAAAAGGAAGAAGCCTCGATTACATCAGTAACGTATCCAACAGCTTGAGTTTTCATCTCAAGTGGTTTTGATCTAATTTTTGTAACATAATTTTTCTTTTATTTTTGGTCATTTTTAAAGCATTTGAAGAGCATTTTATTTATTTTTGGCAATGTTTTAGGTCATCAAAATCTGCCCATTCTCATAAACGTCCTTTATGCTATACAAAGACAAAGCTTGATCAAAAAAATTGGTGTCGTTTTTGAGAAAATTTTTGAAGTTCATTTAAACACTCTCAAAAATCAAAATATTTGTTTAAAACTTTCAAATCCTCATTCGATCAGATTGATTGGCGAATATCAATTTTGAAAAAAATTAAATAAGTGGTTTAGGTGCTAGCGTTGTCCAGAGATAGATGAGGGACTGACCGACAGATGTTTTGCCATCAACTGATTATTCAGTAACAAGGTGCAACAAAACATGGATTCTGGCAACACCACATGTTAGAGATAATTTTTATCTATATTTAGTAATAGAATTTATCCACTTTTTTGCTTTCAGGGCCCCACAATAAAAGATTTTCTATCGAAAATTCGCCACATTCATGCACGTATAGAACTTTCTCTTCTTACAAAGTACCTTCGTAAAGGGCAAGGAAGTAAAAAGTGTTGACAGTAAAATTACAATGATTGTAGGAACAATAATAATTCAAAACAATTTTCATCAACTAATAGAAAATAAATACACAATATTCAATATATGTCATTACTCGATAGTGTACATACTTTAGATGAGACAGTTGCTCTATTGAAATATAACTTGGCATTAGTAGATAGATTATGAGGATCAATCTGTAGAGCTTCTGTGTAGAGAGTGTAAGCAGCCTGTACACGACCAGCCTTAAACGCTTCATTACCTTCTTCTTTCTTCAACTTTAGATTCTTTGCTTTCTGGAAACAATAACTTACTTTAGGAGACAAACAAAGTTATGTTCTCTGAATTTGAAAATTAAGCAGTAGTGACAAAATGGAACATATAAAGATTATACTGATGATTACCTTGTAGATCTCTTTTGTTTTCTCATGGTCAGGAAATAATCTCAAAACTCGCTGAAAATGTTGAAATGCTTGATCCACATGGTCTTGGTAATACAGACACATACCTCGAACATATATAGCTTCTGCATTTTGTATATCAACATGAAGAATATCACTACAAAGAGAAGACAAAATTAAAAATTAAGACTGTGAATCATGGGATTTTAAATCAATGTTTATTCTACAAGCTACTTGTAGGAAAGGAAGTAAGCCCAAACTTCATAATAGGAAAATATGGAAAGATGGGAAAGGAGAAAAAATAAAGAAAAATGGTAAAGAGGAATACCAAGGAGCATCGAGAAGGGGTCAGGAGCATATGGAAGGGGGAGGAGGTGGAGATGAGAAGAGACTAGCAGGGGTGGTGAGAAAGGAATGAGAATAGGAAGGTCAAGGGAGGTTGGGAGTGGAGGAAAGCTAGGGAATAAGGGGGCATGAGGTGGAGAGAATGTAGGGAAAGGGGAGGAGAGACAGGCAGAAGAAGAGGGGAAGACGAAGAGGGGGAGGAGGGGGAGACGAAGAGGAGGAGGGGGAGACGAAGGAGGGGGAGGGAGAAGAGGGGAGGAGGGGAGAGAGGAAGAGGGGAGAAGAGGAAGAGAAGAAGAGGAGGAAGGAAGGGAAGAGAGGAAAGGAGGAGGAAGATGGAGAGGGGGAGGAAGGGAAGACGAAGGAGGGAGAAGAGTGGGAGAGGGGAAAAAGAGGGGGAAGAGAAAGGGCGGAAAAGAGGGGGAGAAGAGGAAGAGGGCGAAAAAGGGGAGAAGAGAAGAGGGAAAAGGGGGGAGAAGAGAAGAGCGGGAAAAGAAGGGGGGAGAAGAGGAAAGGGGGGAAAAGAGGGGGGGAAGAGGGAAGAGGGGAAAAGAGGGGGAGAGAAGAAGAGGGGGAAGCAGGAAGAGGGGGAAAAGGGGGAGAAGAGGAAGAGGGGGGGAAGAGGAAGAGGAAGAGGGGGGAAGATAGGAAGAGGGGAAAGAGGAAGATGGGGAAAAGAGAAGATGGGAAAACAAAGGGGAAAAAGAGGAAGAGGGGAAAAGAGGAAGAGGGGGAAAAGAGGAAGAGGAGGGAAAAGAGGAAGAGGGGAAAAGAGGGGGGAGAAGAGGAAGAGGGGGAGAAGAGGAGAGAAGAAGAGGGAGGAGGAAGAGGAGAGGGGGAGGAGGGAAGATGGAGAGGGAGGGGAGGAGGGGAAGATGGAGAGGGAGGGGAGGAGGGAAGATGGAGAGGGAGGCGAGGAGGAAGATGGAGGAAGGGAGCTGGGAGGAGGGGAAGATGGGGAGGGAAGGAGGAGGGGAAGATGGGAGGAGGGAGGAGGAAGATGAGAGGAGAGGAGGAGGGGAGATGGAGAGGGAGAGGAGGTAGGGGAAGATGGAGAGGAGAGGAGGAGAAGAGAGATGGAGAGGGAGAGGAGGAGGAGAGATGGAGAGGAAGAGAGAGGAGAGGAGAGGAGACGATTAGGAGAGAAGAGGGATGAGGGAGAGAGGAGAGAGAGGGAGAGGAAGAGAGGAGCAGAGAAGAGGAGAAGGAAGAGAGGAGCAGACGGAAAGCGGAGAGGAAGAGAGGAGCAGAGAAGAGAGAGAGAAGAAGAGAGCAGAGAGAGGGAGAAGGAAGAGAGGAGGAGGAGGAGGGAAAAGAGAGGAGAGAAGGAGGAGGAGGAGAGAGGAGGGAAAGAGAGGAGAGAAGAGAGAGGAGGAGGAGGAAGAAAGAAGGAGGAAGAAAGAGAGGAGGGAAGAAAGAGAGGAGGGAAGAAAGAGGGAGGGAAGAAAGAAGGCGAGGGAAGAAAGAGAGGAGGGAAGAAAGAGAGAGGAAGAAAGAGAGGAGGGAAGGAAAGAGAGGAGGAAGAAAGAGAGGAGGGAAGAAAGAGAGGAGGGAAGAAGAGAGGAGGAAGAAAGAGAGGGAGGGAAGAAAGAGGAGGAGGAGGAGGAGGAGGGAAGAAGGAGAGAGCAGAAGTAAGGTTAGAGGGAAAGAAGGCAGGAGGTAAGGACAGGTAAGAAGGAGAGCGTAAGAAGGAGAGGAGAGGTAAGAAGAGAGGAGGAGGTAAGAAGGAGAGGAGGAGGTAAGAAGGAGAGGAGGAGGTAAGAAGGAGAGGAGAGGTAGAAGGAGAGGAGGAGGTAAGAAGGAGAGGAGGAGGTAAGAAGGAGAGGAGGAGGTAAGAAGGAGAGGAGGAGGAGGACGGAAGAAGGAGAGGAGGAGGAGGTGGAAGGAGGAGGATGACAGGGAAGAAGGTAAGGGAGGAGGTAGATGAGGGAGGAAGAAAGATCAAGGGAAAACAAAGTTACTAACTTGGCAACTTCTTGTGCTTCTTGATATCGACCTAACAAAGCAAGGCATTCTGCTCTCCGCAGCTTGTATCTTTTGCATGGAGACTGCTCAAGAAGACGATCCATACAGTACACCACCTAATATCAGAATTTGTGAAAAAAATATACATACACAAGTTTCATGTAATGTATCTTCCATTTAAATACACAATATATTCATAAAAAATAATGTTCTCCTTTATATTGAAAAAAATAAAAGATTTGAATTATTTTAGTATGGTTTCTTTTTTACACACACTTATTTTGTCCCTATTATATGTTTAATCAGCATTTTTCTTGAAATTAGATCTTGAAGATTTGTATTGAAACATTGCTGGAATAAAAGAGTCTATGAAAACTTATTAATTTATTAATGAAGTGATACAAGTTATCATTCATTAACTGTAACACATTTTGTTAATAAATTTGTATTAACTTTTGCTGTTTAGAAATTCTAATGAACATACCTAAAGAATTTAATTAAAAAAAATATATAGTAAGTCCTAAACCATTTTAAATGAAAAGTAAATGACAGACTTGGAAAATTAATATTTATTTCATTTGTCATTTTCATAAAAAAGGAAAAATTTATTTTTCTGAAATTTCAAGCCAATAAATTCACTTCATGTAGGGCTTCTTACTTCAAATGTTTTTGCATTTTAATTAATTTTGAAAACCCTCTCTTCAGTTTGGGAACTCATTCACTAAATAACAATGAATCAACATTACCATTTACGTATTATTTCTTCAATTAATGCATTACAAAACCTGAAATCAACACCCATATGCACTAGCCTTGTGATTGATTTCAAATGTAATATATTTATAATCTAAATTAAACAAAATAAGAATTGTCTTTATTTCTAAAATCTGATTTGGGAAAGATGCATAACCTCAAATAGAAGCATTGCACCTAAATTGCCTTATTTAAATTCATCAAAAATATTGTTAATGATTACAAGTACACTGAATTCGCAGACTAAGTGCACTCAGTGTGTGCTGAAGAGTTAATATGTACAATGATAAATCCTCTGAGAATCTGAACCTTATGACAAACTTTAACACATTACCAGGCACTGATATATCTAGCAAGTTTATTTAGAGAAGAGTCACACATCCATATGCACTTTGCTCATACTCATTGTCCACCTGGTACTTTTGCAACTCCTGTCTCCACGTTAAGGCAACGAAGCAATGTTGCAATGTCAGTAGTGAAGAGTACAGAATCAGGTAGAGTTAAAGTTGAAAAAGGAAAAGAGTAAGGTCAAATAGAAAATACAAGGAAGTGTTACCTAAAAATTACATGTACCATTACATCTTGCCCACTGTTGGTACTAGAATTTTTAATTCAATTAACAATTGCTTTTAACAAAATTAGGTTTCTCTTGAACACAAACAATAGGAAAAAAATTAGAAATGGGGTCCAAATCCAGGAATAATTGAGATAAACATCAACAGAAAAACTTTAACTTTGCTCTTCCTCTCCATAAACTAAATTCAAAATAACTCAAATAAATAATAAGATTCTGTACAAACCACAAGCACGTAGGGCTATTAATGGTTGTTAAACTACCTACAAGCGAATTTAAATTTTGAGAATGTTTCAGAAGAAGAAATTATGCGTAACTCCAACTTGAAAAACCTTGAAGAACTATACACATGACAAGAAAGAATACAGGATCACTAAACACAGGAGAGGAAAAAGAAGTTGTTCTACTACAGAAGATCTCCTTTTTAACATACCTTCCTAAAATCTTCTTTTGCATACGCTTTGTTTGCCTCTTCTTCAAACCTACGAATTACTTCAATTTTCTTGACTTCTGGCAAGATGGTAGTGTTGTTTGGGTCCAACTCTTTAACAGTAGATATTGCATTATTTGCAGCAGCAATATCTCCTAATGCAAGACAGCATTTCACAACCCGAATATAACCCTATAAAAGGAAAGATATGTTGGTAGATTGCTCTTCTACACTGGCAAATAATTAAATTGTAAATAATTTACAAGCATAAATCGAAATACTAAGGAGGTACAATGCATGCATACTGCTTTTCATTCAACGCCACTGTACATCCACATGAACGTAAGAAAAAAAAAAATTAACCTTCCAGAACAGGAAACATAAATATTAAGAATTCTATCTCTGCAATTGTCTTTAAAATATAAACGTTTAAAGCAATCTTCAACTTTTTCCATATTTCAAAGTCCCCCCCTCCACAAATCATGAACATAATATTGAGATCATTTAAAAAAAAAAAAAAAAAAAACAGTTAACATACTTTCACAAATTTTGGATCAAGTTGAATGGCCTTCCGAGCATCATCCAAAGCTTCCTTATATTGATGCAACATCATGTAGCAAGCCGATCTATTGCCATAGTATGCTGGGGACTCTGGACACAGTTCTGAGGAAGAAAAAATGATACATTTAGAACATTATGGGTAAAAACAATTTTATTAACATCACTTGTATTTCTCTCTCAATGTTAGTCACATTTCAAGACCTCATTGCATTAGATTTCAAGAAAATAGTGAAAGAGACAGCACTGATTGTTGGGAAACAATCAGCAAGAACCCCTTGTGGTGACAGACCAAGTAGTAGAAATTCCTAGCCCTTTCCAATGTAACATACTGGCAACAAACAATGAAATGCACAGGAAAATTGGCAATACTAAAAATGGGCAGTTTGTTCATTTTCTTCAATTAATCAAGCATCTTTTATCATTACGAAATCAACTATAAGAAAACTTTCACTCTCTTAGTATTGGTTTCCTTATGCAATGAAAAACAATCAATCAACTTCGTAAATTTATTTCATTAATTTTTTAAAGATCACAATGCTTCCTGTCCTGTTGCAACCACTTCATCAGGTGATAATCTATAAATAAAATTAAAAACACTTCAATTGCATACAATGAAAGGTTAACCTTCATTATAATATATTACATATTTCATTGTATATTATATTACATATAATGATAGGTTATTCAAATGTTTTTAATCTGTTATTTTGATTTTGTCACCAGATGAAGTGGCCACAACTACCCACGATATGTGATCATTAAAAAATTAATAAAACAAGTTAGTTATTGAATGTTGGTAATTCCACAAGGAAGCCAATCCTAAAAGTTTGTTAATGAATACATAATCATATAGTTATTACACAGTCACTATGGTTGACAAACGATACAAGTTAAATGAAAACTTTCACATTGAAAACTTAATTATCTTAATAAACATCATAAATTCAAAAGAGTTCTTGTTGTAGTTTCAAAGGACATCAAATATAATTTTTCAAATAAAGAAACAAAATGCCTTACATTCATCACTCTTGACAATATATTTTAATTCTTTACTAGTACGATTACTTATTTTAAAAGAACGGCTCTTAAAATCAAGATCTAATACATAAATGCAAATTCAAGTGCATTATTTACATAGCTGATTGCTAATATTGTTAATCTAAGAAGCTCAAAAACTTTTTAAATGAGGCAAAAGGGGCTGTTGTTAGTGACTAGTATAAATTTTAAGGAGTTTACACAACTATTGAATGAAAAAGGGAAAACAATACAGATTAAATAAGAATATTACAACATATATATAATATATAGGGAATATAGGGAACATAAAAAGTAAATAAATATTAAATTTTTTAATACAACTTCATAATTAATTCACAATTCCTGTTTCAACAGGGAAACTTGTTAAGTTTAACTTTATCTGTTATATTATATCACACCTATTTACCAGGAATCAATTCAAAGATACGCCCTTTGCCCTTTCATTATAATCTGAATTTTTAATGGACAGCAGATACAGTACCTACAACTCTTGTGCATTTTTCAAAAAGAATGGCAACATAGACCATTAAAATTATCATATGTTGTTTTAAAATTTAATCAAACACAGCATTAAGAATTAGATATTTTATTGCCACAGAACAATGTGTATTCTACATGGTATAATTCAGAAAAAAATGATTGCATATCACCAGATAATAATTAAAACAAAGATGATACTGAAATCATAAACAAAACTAGAGAAGCTACAGAATGGCAGACATTCCTGTATTAGTTTTCTATTTCCTTTGGTCTCTGCTAGCAACTCGAACTTGTCACATACTCTTCCCTGCTACCACCTGTCGCTGCCCAAAATCCATTTTTTTTTTTCTTTATTTTCCAGAAAATCAATTTCAAGATTTCAAATGAAATATACGTTTTAGGGCTCCTGATGTGAACAAAACTAGTGCCTAAACTATATACGATCTTTTCCAAACTGAATAATACCCTGTTGATATGGCCTGAGTGGAAGCTCAGCAATTTTGAAAAACATTGATTAATTTTTAGGGGTGTACTTCATTGAAACACTGGGACATTTTCTAAATTTTCCAAAAATGGCTCCAATTGTTTTCTTTAAATATAAGAAAAGAGAAACAAGTAAAATACACTTATAAAGGTGGCACTTATAAAGGTCTGATTCTCAAGGTTAATTCTGAATTTCCGAAAATTACAAAAGTTAAGCGTCTGTCTGTCTCTCTGCGCCTGCCCGCCAGTCCCTCTGCACCTGCCCGCCTGTCTCTCTGCGCCTGCCCGCCTGTCTCTCTGCGCCTGCCCGCCTGTCTCTCTGCGCCTGCCCGCCTGTGTGTGCGCCCGTCTGTGTGTGTGCCTGTCTGTGTGTGCCTGCTGTGTGTGACAAACACCTTTTTTGTCTATTCTTTTATCTTTTCAAAAATTACGAAAATACAATTCTTTTCACTATCTCTTATGTTAATCCTCTCATGTTCCTCACATTAGCATCAAGGGAATTTCCCTAGGGCCTACACCTTGAAAGACAAGCGACCCCAAGGTCGAATTCTACGCTGACAACTGAAACTTCTCGCATTCACTGTGCAACTGCCACGACTAAAACTTGTCAAAGGGGCAGAGAAAATAAAACAATCACAGATTGATTCATTTCATGAGTAATTTGCGTCTCTCTACCAATTACAATAAATTCGCAAAAACTCCATTTTATCAAGGTTTTTCTTCTGAGGTCATGAAAAATTGTTCCATTTCCGCGTTGGGCAGATTCCGTTTTGTGCTGTGTAAAATACCAATTAACTTCATGGATCAAGAAAATACTCTGGTAAGGCAGGTTTCCGCCTTCTACAGGTATGGACATAATTGACTTCTTTTACACGTGACTTTTTCATATATACGCACTTGCCTTTTTTAACAAGAATTCAAAACAATGAGATTATACAATCAGTAATGATTTGTATTATTTCCTTCGCCGAAAGGGTAATTTGGCAGTACCATAGAAATTTAAAGAGATAATGATAATAGGGTTCACATGTTTTTATACATTCTTGTGAGAACTAAAACATATTAAAACAGTTTCCAAATCACACTAGTAGAAAAACTTCTATTAATAAAATGATATACTTCCATTTGCAATTTAACATATTTTTACTAGACAGTTCCAAACTTTTAAAATACATGCTGGACAAATTTTCTGTCACATGAAACCTTGTTGTTCTGAGAATACAACTAATCAAACACAATTGCAATATGCTTTAGTTTCTAGGCACATTGAGGAATAATGTTTTATCACAAATCTTCATTTTGTTACTAAAACAATGGACACATTGCTAAAAATTATTATTATTATTATTATTATTATTATTATTATTATTATTATTATTATTATTATTATCATCACCATCATCATCATCATTATTATCAATCATCACTATCATCATTATTATTATTATCATCATCATTATTTAAACTCAATAAAAATATATGTTCACTATGAAGACACAAAATTTGTCTTCTTCTGTATCCATTACCCCCTCCATTCTCCAGTACAATGCAGTGAGGCTTGCCAAAGCTTAACTATGCTCTGTGAAGTGATGGAGGTTGAGCAATTCACAATATCATAGGTTCCTGGATGGGTGTCTGTCTGGGAACCCTGTGATCAATCTGAAGGAGTAAAAGGTAATGACAGACTAGATTAAATGATTACTCCATTACAAATTCAACTTCAGTAGGTGGCTATAACAAAATATTACAATTTAACGTAACAGAAAAGAAAAAACAAAGTTTCAGAGCATTTTTAACGCAAACACCTTTTACAGTTTTCTAAACTCGTAAAAATTATACCTAATTTACGTATCATGGAGTTCAAAACATAAACCATGGCACCAGGAAAAGAAAACAAAATAACTTTTTATGAAGAAAAGATATGATATTGTTTGCAAAAACTCCTTCCCAACATATGCTATGGAAGATGGAACTTGAGACTGGCAGAAGATTGGTATCTACATATCCAAGGCACTGACAATCATGGGCCAATTGGATATGAGTTATCACAGTTTTCATTGACCTGCATTGCTAATGCCAAAAATCCTTATTGAAGACTTTAAATAACCAACTCCCTAATGCCTTAACTCAAGACACACATTCAAAAATAAACTGAAAACTTTCCTGTTAAACCATACATTCTACAGAACAAAATAATATAAACATCATTGACATACATCCACATGAATAAGAACTACTAATAACTTTGCATACTGTTCCATGTTTGAAACCTAGAATGATCTTTGGACATAAAGGATCAACACAAGCCACACATCAAGCACACACATTTTTTCTCTTTCTTTTTTCCTTTCTTTCCTTCTTTTTATCATCACTTTTTATTTTAAACTTCCTAATTACCCCTTATAAAATTAATTTGCATTATATATTTTCCATTACAATTTACACAAATATTTAATGTATTGTTTTAGTACTAAATTAGAATTTAATTTCAATTCCTGTATTGTATTTAGTTTTTAGAAATACCTATATTGAACATTGTATAATTATATACATATCCTGACTTGTCATACATGGCTTAGGCTGTATTTAAAGGACAAATATAATAATAATAATAATAATAATAATAATAATAATAATAATAATAATAATAATAATAATTATTATTATTATTATTATTATTATTATTTTGGGATCTAAACATTCCCACAGAAGGCACGCTTAAATTTCATGTGAGGGTAAGGATAAGGGCATGAGCCAGGGAGCTCAGTCTCAGTCTAATCCAACATAAGGGCTTGTAAAATGTAAACAATTATTAAGATTTTTGACAAAGGTATCTTATCTGACAAGAAACTGTTCTAGCAGTACGAGAACTTGTGCACTTGGCAACACTGCACCATGAGCTTGCTAGTTGCAAGTATGAAAGAAATATCTCCTGAAGAATAAGTGTAATTGAACTGTAAAGTTACTTTAAGATTAATTACAAAAATGAATGTTAATTGCAAAAATGGCCTTCCCTTGGTGTTACAAGGGGGTTAACCTTTCAAAAAGTATATAGTTTTTTATTTCAAAACTTCAACTTCATTTTATACTCCTCTGTGTCTTCATCAGAATTAAAAATTAGATAAAGTATGTCTCCAAACTTTACCAATAGCTTCTGTGTAAAATGGGAGAGCCTGTTGATATTTCTTGACTTTATAGAGTTGGTTTCCATTCTCTTTCTTAAGTTCAGCCAACCTGCAAAGATTAAGATAACTATAAGTACATGCAGAAAAATTATATTTGCAAGAATTATAAGAATCTATTGACATCAACAGTACTTTATAATATTCACAGAAAATGCATTGACACACACGTGTAGGAAGTATCAAACCCAATAGCATACAAACAAGAAGTTCACCTAATATGCTACCTTCTCTTCAGAATCTCTAATCTCATTGATTTGTTATAATCAACGCCGATGCAGTGCTATCACTAAAAGTTTTAGGAAAATGTTTTTTATTTCATTGTAATAAATTACAATATTTATCTCAAAGATTTAAAGTTAGTTAAAGATTAGATTTAAAATTCCACTAATTTTTTTAATTGTTAATTAAAAATGTATTTAAATTTAGAAAATTATGCAAAATTTAGAAATAAATAGCAATTATTGGTCATTATGTGCAAATACTAAACTACAAAACTCCTACACTTGTTACTTACATAAATTCTCTTCTACAATGCGTAGATATAATTGTACAGTCATTCATTTTTAATTGCATTAGTCTTTATAAACACAGCTCATTAATAAATTTAACTTCGTTAAGGACATCAAAAAGTCTTCAGAGACTGTAATAAAAATAACCGAATCTCAATAACTTATCTACAACAAATTAAATTTATATTCTTCCTTCTCAACATCCATGATCCATTACCCTATCAAATCAATTGCATTTGAGTCACATAAGATTTAAATAATCACATTTGAAAAAAGACAATCCTAACAGATTAACAAACACATTTGATGAATATTGAAACCAATGCAATAGATTTTAAGTAGCATGTGTCAATAACATTTCAATCTATCAATTCAACATAACTCTACCCAATAAAGTTTTAATATGGAAGTAATACAAAAGTACACGCCCTTTAATTTACGGGCGCACGTGGGATACATGATGTTTACAATGGTAATTCATCATTCTCAAAATAACATTAAAATAGAGCAAAGGACATATGGTTTTACTGTATCTCAATACGTTTTAAGAAGTAAATCTTGGCACTTGCAGAATAGTTTGGACACAATTGCACTACACAATCTAGAGTTTCTTTTCTATTATACTCTTCTTAGACACCCGATGAGCTTTCTCAAATATAGTCACAATGACAACAAAGGGTAATCTAGTCGTAGGTGTCAATAAGGAAACAATCCTAATGACAACTGGCCATACACACTGTATAACACAGAAGACGTACATGCTGAACATGTAAAACGTGATTGAAATTTTAAGAATTTCACTCCATTTAATTTTGTTTTCCGGAAAAAATCGTAAAACATTGCATCAGCTGGGCATCTTCATAGTCTTCGCTAGCTTCAAATTAGCGATCGTGCCACTTACTTAGACCCTATAAAATTTTCCCAAACACAGCAAATCCTAACATCTGTCATTCTTTCCCATACTTACTCTTCCCCATTATTTATAACCATTTCTCCCACTGTTTCATGTTCACCCATGTCGAGTTCATTCACTGTGTCTGCCATCTTACGAAATAGAGGATCGCTAGCCAGAGACTGCTCAGAGTCGCTGGCTCTCTTCGGTGGCACTAGAAATAAAGAGCGAGTTTCGGACCCGGAGGGTTCTTTAACCAATAAGAACATTATAAAATTATCAGTAATGGCTGGTCTGTCTGCGAAGAGTAAATGAAGGCAGTGAAGATTGTTTATTTGGTTGGCTAATTGTATTTGTTTTTTATTGTGCATGAAGTATAATTAAGTAGAAGCACGGTGTGTCCTTGTATTCTGTTAAGTACTGTCACTTCTGTTAGCTAGTCGATTTTTTAATTGGAAGTTTACCGGCAAGAGTTAAAATCTTGAAATGATGTCGTGGTTCATCTTCAGGTTCTTCTCATCTGTTTGCTATATGTGAAATACACTATGAGTAATACACGCCTTATCGTTTCTTTTCAGAAAGTTGGGCGTGTATATAAGATGGTCTGTGTATCAGGCTGTACTAGGCCTACCTACGAGCAGAGTGACAGGTGCTCCGTCCATACATCTCTATTATCCATCATCAACAAGTGATTGATGTGGCTTGTACAACATCCGGAGAGTATACTGAACAAGATCTTCCATGAATGAAAACCCCAGTTTTGTGCAGGGACCAAGCTAGCAATTAGCATGGGGAACAGCAATAGTTGTTGCAAGTTCAATAACTCAAGTCATCCCCCAAGCACAAATTTTGAAGAACCTCTACCTGAAGGTGAAGAGAGTGTAGGTAATTTACAACATATAAGTGAACGTGAACCTGAAGACTGGGATGCAGATCCATCTCTTCATCCAAAAGCTGGAACTATTTTTATGGAAAGATCAAAAGCATCACTAGAAAGTAAGTGAATTGGCAAAAGAAGGGCATGATATTTCTGTTTTTGATTGTTAAATGTACAAGAACTGTATGTATAGTGAGAAAAAACTAATGACCCTCATTCTTTAAAGAATTTACTTTTATAATTGATTCATTTGCATCTAGGAGGGGTCATGTCCTCACTGGAAATTTTGAAAGGGACTCCCTACAAAGCCTTATGTAAGCCAAAGCAAAAAATTACATTGGCACAAAGCCTAATGTTGCAGATCATTTTATTTCTATATGTTTAATACCATATTTCCTTCTTTATTCAATCTTTAAATTTGGGGAATTAATCTGAGACATTTGGGGAAGAGTCTTTCCAATCAATCTGGCAACTCTGTAAATGATTCATTGTAAAATCATTTGTTTTTATGAGTAGTACCATTGAAGTTATAGTTTCATTCTCCTTGTAGTATGGTTTATTTATTTAATATAGTAAAGTATTTTATTGTAAACAAAGTTTAATGGAAAATGAGTGACCCAGAACTCTTAATTAGTTGGCCAATTCTTGTTTAGGCTGTACTTGCCAATGAATTTATCTAATTGTGATTGTTCTATGCAGTTGGACTCTTGTTTGAGTGTTCACAATTTTGCTAACTCTCACTTTTTATTACCAAATATTTGATAAATGCTAATAAATGCATTTCATTTAAATGTTGAAATAATTCATTCAAGTAAAAGGGAATTTCTTTTATCCAATTTGTTAATATCGTAAAACAAATATCTGAAAACTATCTATTAAAGTTCCACTTGACTTGCTAATAAATCTACTTTATTTTCAGATGGGATGGTGCGAAAGAAAAGTCAGAATCATGTAAGTATGGCATTGCTTGAAAATAAAAGTGTGGGGGGGGGGAGGGGGGGGGGAATGAAATGGAAGCATTTTGGATATCAAATCTGATTTAAATAAAATGCTGCATGTAATTAAACAGGAGAAAAAAAGTGAAATGTTAAAGTTTTCTAAACATGATGGATGCTAATTTTTGCTATATTTTCCTTTGTAATTATTAGTTTGTAAGTTGTGTGTGCCATTAACAGACAAGACATTTGTTTGCAGCTGGTTGATGTGCGACCTCTGAAAAAGAGCAGTTCCTGCTCTACTATATATTTGGATGATAGTACTGTGTCTCAGCCTAACTTGAAAAACACAGTTAAATGTGTTGCCCTTGCCATCTATTATCACATCAAGAACCGAACTTCGCATCGACAGCTTGATATATTTGACGAAAAGCTTCATCCTCTTACGGTAAAAGTGGGAAACTATTAGTACTGTATAAGAATCATTCTGCAAGAACCAAATAAACAGAGTTTGAAACCACCTAGAATTTTTGGTTTCGAAAGCTATTCAAATATGTGACTCATGGTTTTTAGTTCTATATGTGTGAATGTATCATTTATTAATCCCATTTTTCTAGTATAGCAAAAAATAAAATTACTAAAATAAGTGAGAATGTAATTGTTGCTCATTGATCTTAAATTATCATAAATACTGCCATGATTCTGCTTGAAAAGCAGAAAAATTTCTGTGTATTCCTGTGTGCTCAAATAATTATAATTTTGGAATTAAGGTTGTAAAATCTCTGCTAGAATAATTATTTCTATCTTCATTATAAAAATGTTTTCAGTATTTATGTTAAAGCTACGTATAAATTCTGATTTGAGCTTTTTAAAGGATGACTACACATTCAAAATGTCATTTGTTCAATATCAAAAAGATAAAGGTAGTATTTATTAACCAAGTAAACAAATCTAATCTTAGCAAATCTCTTCATTGCTATTTTGGTTATCTTTCGTACATGTTACACAACTTGAGTCTGGAAAATTTTCTGAGATTCACAAATTGAATGTTGAAAACATCAATACCTAGGAACTAAGGGGACATAATGACTTGTATGAATATCTTATCATTTATTGAAGCAGAATGAAACTGAACATTGATTTTGGCAATTGGAGATGAAATATCTTAGCCTTTCCACTAATTCTATTGATCAACTGTAAAAGCCTGTTTCCTTTCCTATCTTATCTGTTAAAATTCTCTGTACCACAAAAATTTTTGAAGAGAGAATTCTTTCTGGTTAATGGTATGCATTGTTTGGTAATGTTCTTATCCTGACAAAAAGTATTGAAGTAAAAAGGGTAAATTTTAATATTGCTGTAGTAGACGTGTGCATATTAGGACAGTCCAACTAGGAAAATATTGCTAAAATATTACAAGTAATTCTTCATAATCGTAACTTTGAACATTGTCATATTAGTAATAACTACAAACTAATTAATTGGAAAGTACATAAACTTGAAAATACCTAATATTTTATTTATTGTTTATACCAATTACCTATTGCAGTTCAATCTTTTTTACTTAAAAGGTTCAAATCATGTTAATTCATTTTTTAAATATACAAAATATTTATGCTCTCTAATGACTATGGTGTTCTCCATTTGAGGAAAATACAATATTGTTTTTCATTCAAGGGCAAAATTAATTGAAGTGTTTGAAGGCAATAATTTATTTATTTATCCGATTCGCTTTGTACATATAAGTAACAATTAGTATATTAAATTATAAAGCTATAAGTAATTTACAATGATCATTATTGAGCCAATGAATGATGAATGCATATAATTAAAATAAAGTTTATGAAACTAACTGAATTACAATATACCATTGTCAAGCAAAAATGATCAAAGTATATAATGTTATGAATGAACAACAAATGATGATTTCAACTGCTTTTCTTCGGAAAAAGAGCTAAGACTTCATACCGTTGGCTTTGGAGAAATTCAAAAATGGGAAAAGGGAGTTTTGCCTTCATGGAAATCCTCTTTCCACTTATTTCTTCCTTCTAAGGATTTTTAATTTAGAACAAGTATTTAAAATTAAACAGAAAGAAGAAACTAAAACAATTATACAGATGGTAGATTATAAAAATAGAAGTAGTTCATAATGACATGATTCAAAATAGAAAACCATGTCTCAGTTTTAATTTAGGGTATAGTATTCAAAACTAAACAAATTGTGATGTTAATACTATTCCTTTTAAGTAAGCAATACAAAAAATATTTAGAAATTATTTGGACATTTATATTGATGATTCATTCCATGCTTTATTCAATTTTTTATAGAGAGATGGTGTTGCAGATGACTATGACAAGCACGATCCTGAACATAGGCAGATATATAAATTTGTAAGGACGTTATTTAATGCAGCACAGCTTACTGCTGAGTGTGCCATAATTACTCTTGTTTATTTAGAAAGGTTGGTGTAAAATTCCTTTAAATTATTCTTATGCAATCTATATCATTCTGTTAATATTCCTTTGCCTAACATAATTGTTTACTATTTTTTATAGGCTTCTCACTTACGCAGAAGTAGACATCACACCAGCTACGTGGAAAAGAATTGTTCTTGGAGCTATTTTACTAGCATCAAAAGTTTGGGATGACCAGGCTGTTTGGAATGTGGATTATTGCCAGATTTTAAAAGACATAACTGTGGAAGATATGTAAGTATTTGTAGCTCATAAAATCTCAATTAAATGATTTATACTGTAATTATTTTACATTTAAATAAAGTTAATTTTCCATTGTGTACTAATATTTTTTTTCTAAATGAAGGCTAATAAAGCAGTAATATTAAATGGAAAAGAGTTTTGCTTGGAATGTATTGTTTACTTAATATTTCTTTTGTACATATTTTATGGCAATTTAAATTTTCAGGAATGAATTAGAGCGTCAGTTTTTAGAAATGCTTCAGTTCAATATTAATGTTCCATCCAGCGTTTACGCCAAGTATTATTTTGACCTTCGAACACTCGCTGAAGCCAATGACCTCGCGTTTCCTGGTGAACCACTGAGCAAGGAGCGTGCCCAAAAACTGGAGGCTATGTCACGTGTCTGTGAAGACAAAGTCAATGAAGCTCTTCGCAATGGCTTCAAAAAATGGTCCAGTATGGATAACGTGAGCATGGGAGGTCCACGACGTAGTGTGGCAATATTATCATGAGTGGCCGTAATATTTACCTACATTTATTCCCTATTAAATCCACGGAGATGGGTGTGCTAGTCAGACAACTTCACACTGCATACTCTGGTGTCCTTGTACGGACATTCATGCACGTGTCTATTCAACGAAATACATAGATGTGTGGTATACGGAAAGTGCTTAAAACTCTCTGCCAAAGCAACTTTACTGCAATTTCTTTTTATCGATTTGGGAAGTAGATTAGCATTCAGATCTTCTGAGACTAGCTCAGGCAGTTATATGAGGAGAACAAAATTAGAGCTGCAAGGACTCATTGAATACGAAATTAATTACTTTGATGCACAGCTTGCTTGAAGTCCATTTGCTAATTAGCACAAACACTTTAATCTTGGAGCTTTCCTTAGTAATTCAATTTCAGAGAATGGTTTTCCATTCTTATATATCTATATTCTCTGGCAGTTGTAATTGATTGGATGTCCAATCTTCATTACCGTTTTTCAAATTTACAGTTTCATGCTTGCATGGTATATAATAAAATATTATAATACCATATATTTGAGACATTCAGCAATACTAGAGATTTTGTAAAAGTATGAATTGCTGAGTTTCTTATAATAATTTGTACAGTGATTTGGAAAGGACAATGTATTTAGTTAGTCTTAGTGATAATTTTGTGAAGCCATGTGATATTGAAATTGAATTGACTTCATTACAAAGTCATGCATTATACCCTCAGTAGATCTGAATGTTTATCTGCCTTCATTGTAAAATGAGGCTGAAGGGAAAGGCATGTCTGTATATAAACAAGAGGCATTTTTGCCTTGGGCTTCACTCTACATTCTTCCAGGTTTTGTGTAACAAATTTTGACTCCAAAGATGGTGAGACATAGAGAAATCATACATATAATTTTTATCCTTTAATATAATCTGTATAAAGCTAGATTCATTCATATTGTTATACTATAATATTATACTAGACTGCAGAACATAAATATGAGTTGGCATATGTAGACAAAGTATTTGCTCATTGTACTCAAGCAGTCAAATGACTGTTTTCATATGTGCAGCTTAGCATATGTTATGTCAAATTTATATGTAGCACAATGCCAGCCATTGCTTTCTGTGATCAAATTATATTATTTATCCATATTTTTTGTGAATGCCAAAAATGATTTATTGATGGTCTTCTACCAGTAGACTGTAAATGTTTCATATTGTTTTATTTCTTTGAAATATATTAGATTGTATTGGTTATTCTGAAGAAGCATGCGCTATGTAATAAGTTCTATTACATTGTTTTGTGAAGGGGCATTGATTAGGTAGCTTTCTCTGGGATAGGAAAAAATGGTTTTGTGAGGCTTACATGCTAAGACATGTTATGTTAAACTGTCTTGTAAGTTCCTTTCATTCCTCATGAGTGTTATGATAATGGTAAGTCAGGGTGAAATAATTTGCTTCACATTATATTAAGAGATGTGAATGACAAAAGGAGATTTGTGGGAAGGAAGTGTGTTTGTGACCTCCAGCCTTAGGGACAGAAGAAATTTAATGCAGTATTTACAATTCATTAATTATTTTGCAGTATTTATATTAACTTTCAGTTCTAATTTTTGTCCTTTTACTTCAGTTTTCTTTGTGCACAGTTAGTATTTAATTTTATCACGGACAAGTTATCCATGTGGCTCTAATCAAAACATTTTCAAGTATTAAGTTTTCCTGTGAAAGTGGATGGATGTATGAGGAACACCTGGAAATTGATCTTTTTATAGTAAAATTAATAAACTTTAATTTTTAAAATATATTTTGGAATTATATAATTCAGATTTTTGCAAAAATATTCATAATATGGATATACATACAAAATGTTTGGTATGTTTTTCATGACCACCTATTCTACCTTTCCTTCTATTCCTGTACAAAAATTATATCATAGGAGGAAGTATGAAAAAAACAAAAAAATTTAATCAATGCCTGATTCGTGGGTTAATCGAATCTTTCAAAACCGACAATTAATAACAGTTGCATGTTTTGTAGCAGGTAAATAACTTCTCCAAAGTATTGAGTGCAATAAGTAATTCCAAAGACTGTCAATATGTTTCAACGCCATTTCCAAAATTATCCAAAATAAATTTTTAATGAAGTATCGAAATAAAAAATTGATTAAAGTTCCATTATATTCGACAAACATTAACGACGCAGGACTGCTCTTCAGTTATTTTTAAGAGTTCGTATTCGGTGTATAATAATCCTAAAGGACACTTCATGTTTTCGTTCATAAGTGCACAAAATCAGTTTTACGCATAATGCGTGGGGCGGTAAAATGCTTCAATTGTCATTTAGCTAACATTTCAGCCCGTCTATTTTGTTTGAATCATTACTATTTTTTCTCTCGTAATTACAAATTGTTTACACAATTTCAATACGTTGTACGTCAATATTCCAAAGACGACTAAGAATACAATTTTTGCAATGGCCAAGCTTTCACCAAAGTCACATGTTCACAGTCTCTCAGCTGAGCGACGTCAATGTATTCTCTTGTCAAACATCTTTGGTTCTTCTAGTCGAGGAAAGTGACGTACACCTCTGGGACTACGGGAATCAAAATGGCCGTGTTCAATAGTGGACGGAGTGTAACAAAGACGAGTGTCATGGATACGCAAGTAGGGACACAAGAAACTATAGTGGATCGTTTGAAGTTACTACATCCGATGGTGAATGAAGAAGAAACTCCGCTGCCACGTTCGTGGAGCCCGAAAGATAAATATAACTATATTGGTTTGTCGCAAAATAATTTGCGAGTTCATTATAAAGGTCACGGTAAGACACACAAAGATGCTGCTAGTGTCCGAGCCACTCATCCAATTCCAGCAGCGTGTGGGTTATACTACTTTGAAGTGAAGATAGTAAGCAAAGGTCGTGATGGGTATATGGGTATTGGACTTTCAGCTCAGGGGGTCAACATGAATAGACTTCCTGGTTGGGACAAACATTCCTATGGTTACCATGGTGATGATGGTCACTCATTTTGCTCATCTGGTACAGGTCAGCCCTATGGTCCAACATTTACTACTGGTGATGTTATAGGTTGCGGAGTGAACCTCATTGATAATACTTGCTTCTACACAAAGAATGGCCACAACCTAGGAATTGCTTTCACAGATTTACCCCCAAATCTATACCCAACAGTAGGACTACAAACCCCTGGAGAAGTAGTAGATGCAAATTTTGGACAAGCTCCATTTGTGTTTGATATTGAGGACATGATGCGAGAACTTCGTGCTCGAACTCAGCTTACTATACATAATTATCCTGTGCTTGATAATCAGGGTGAATGGCAAGCTACTTTACACAAAATGGTATCAACATATTTAGTTCATCATGGTTATTGCGCTACTGCGGAATCATTTGCTCACAGTACTGGACAAGTGTTTGATGAAGAAATTACATCTATTAAAAATCGCCAGAGGATCCTACGACTTGTGTTGGCTGGTCGAATGGGTGAAGCCATAGAAACAACTACAAATCTCTATCCCGGACTTTTGGAACATAATCAGAATCTTCTCTTCTTACTCAAGTGTCGTCAGTTTATTGAGATGGTTAATGGTACAGACTCTGAAGTGTGCCCTCCTCGTTCCTCTCGTGGCCAAAATGTCTTTTCTCCTACACATCCTTCATCTACTCCTTCCCAGCCTACGAGTCCCATCCAAACTTCAGTCATACAGTCTTCTAAGAGTTATGGAAATAATCGTAATCGAAGCTCTTTAGTGGAAGAAAACAATGTTAGTAACATGGCTGTGAATGGTGACAATAGTGGATCAGGTGATAAGTCCAATGGAGTGTCATTAGTTTTGAGGCAGCAGACATTAAGTGCACCAGATGAAGGTGATGTTGAAATGGACACACATGATGAAAAAAGTAAGCAAAAAGTTTCATCTCCTGCTACAAATGGTTACCAGAATGGGAATGAACATCCACAAGACAAAGGTAATGCCGTTGAAGAGGAGGAGGAAGAAATGGATGTTGAAACTCAATCATCTAAACACCAGTTGTGTGGTGGAAGTAAGCCTGCTGTGGAACGTATTTTAGAGTTTGGAAGAGAGCTTTACAACATGAACCTTCGTCTTGAACAGGAACAAAGTAAAAATGAGAATAATAAAAAAATGCTTCAAGATGCCTTTAGCTTATTGGCTTATTCAAATCCATGGAATAGCCCTGTTGGCTGGCAATTAAATCCCGTTCAAAGAGAAACAGTGTGTGCTGTACTAAATTCTGCCATTCTGGAATCAAGCAACCTTCCATGGCGACCTCCATTGGAAGTGGCTATTGCTCATGCTCAAGAACTGGTTCACCTGATGTCTCGCTCTGGACTTGGGTCATGTGCCTTTGCCAGTGTGGACGATTTGCTGCAGTACTGAATTTCAACCACACTTGGAAGATTGAAGTCTATAATCGATCTCAGGCTTGAGCTGCTCAGTCTGACATGAAGCAGCTCCTTACGTTTCATAAGAAGCATTTGATATTTTGTCAACATTTCTGGTGTTTGTGCTGCATGGAAAGAGGTTGTATTTGTCTGATTTGTAAAATAGTAAAAGCATATAATGGTGTCAATTTTGCCCCTGACATAAATGTGATTCAATGAACATTAATAATTGTGTGAATTAACTCTGTTTTAATGGTAAATTTTTTTCATGTTCATGATTAACATTTTTCATTCATTTTCTTTAGCACATGTTCTTCTTAAAAAGAGCATGTGAACGTGCTGTTTCCTATTATGAAAATGAACATTAATTTTATTTGTATAATTTATGTGTTGCTTAGAAATGAAATTTAAATCCACTTCCAGTTTGTCATACTGTCAGTTTTGTCAGAATTGAGTTTTTATCTTTTGACAATGTCATTCTTACTTTGTGATGACAAATCAGTGGATTTGTTTGTATTTATTTAAGGAAGCAGCTTAAGTAATATTTTAAATGAAAGATAAAATCTATACTTTTCAGTTTGTAATTTGCAGAGACCACTCATAAGTGAAAGTAGAATTGTAAATATCTTTGGTGTTTCAAAAACTCAAATTCACTTATGAACCTTTTTCATAACTTGTGGATTTTGTTTGTAATGAAAGTGAGCAAAGAATTTGAAAACGATCTTGAGAGTTGATGTGATGGACGCAGAGAGACAACCTGTTCAGATGTAATACTAGTAAAGTAAAACTTGTAACTTCTGATAATTATTTACTTTGGATTTTGAGTCAGGTATTTCATATTTTATGCAGATTAGAAAAGTTTTTAAAAGTAAATAAGCATAAAAAAATTGCATTTATATAAGTTTACATTGAAAACTGTTTCTGAGATTGTTAAATTAAAGATATAATTTTTTTAAATTAGATACTTACAATGTACATGAATTTTCAGACTATTAAAACATAGATAATTTTCATTGGGACTGGTTGTATCCACTTAGTAATAATTAAATATACGGAATATCTCCATTTTTTAAATAATGATATAGGATTTAAAGATGTAAAAAAAATATACTTGGCATAGTGCTCAGATGAACTTGATACATGCAGTGTATTCGTGCTCTTAAGATGTTTACGTTTTTTGTTATAAAAATACAATAATGTGCACTTAAATCTAGCATTGCTTAATAATTTTGGCGTAATGGAATTCCATAAACTAGGTATGCACCTTTGAATTTAAGCTTTCATTTTGATCCTATTTGCTGAAAATATGGGTAATCACAGTAAACTGGTTTATTGTCTGTGGAGTTGTTAAATGTAATTTTCTTTGTATAATACTCTCAGTGACCAGACTTTCGGATCAGGATATAATCAATACATGTAATAGAGGTTTAATATATGTACATATTCATAGAACTATTAAAAAGAATTTTAGGATAAATTGTGATGTTGAGTCTTTTCATTTATACAATATTTAGTTGATTTATTCAAAGTATAAGTATAATAAAAGAAAGTGATGGCACACAATACACTGTCCTTTAGTATACCATATTTGTTCCAAAATTTGTTTGACAAATGGAACTTCATTCAATCGTTTATTTTACAAAGGTAAAGTCATCTTATGATTGTACCAATATGAATGAAAAGTAGATATTAAAGATTTAATGGAAATATAGATTGTATTTATCGATATTTATTGCAGAGGTGGCAAGTAATTGAGTACGAATTGTGAGAACACGTTGTGTGGCCTTCCATCTAGTAAGTGTTTTAAGTAATAATTGAATGTCGTTGCCTAGAAAACAGCAACATTACAGGAGTGAAGTGTGTAATGTGATGTTGGAAGATAAAGCTTTGTAGAAATAGTCTAAAGTTGAGGTAAATATGTAAATTGCTTTGATGGAATTCTTTTCAGGTAAATACCATCAATAGGACAGGTCGCAAATTTCAACATGTTTAACCTCAATTGTAACTTATGAATTTTGAATATTAATTTCTTTAGACTATAAAGCTTTTATCTAACAAGCCCCAATATGGTGTAATATTTTTTGATCACCTGTAAAGGTGCTTGTACTGTGTGAATTGTGGCTTCAATAAATTACCTTTACTTTATTGTTGTATTTTGCATCCAATGAATTAACTACATATTAACACATGTCGTTCGAAAATAGGAGAGAGAATTGCGCAGTATGATTATTTGGGTCTTCGAACAGCTGATCAAATCAAGGTCAGTGACAGTACTAGTTATTTTAGGACAAGGCATATTGCAGTATTCCTGACCTATTAACTCAAGTTCTACACTTTGATATGGTGGGAAGGCTCTTGAGAAACCTTTCATTAAAGAATTAGAATTTTCATTATTTACAAACTATTTATAGTTTCTTTCGATCTCCATTTGAGGGACTGAAGTTCAGTCACTGAACTAAGCGTAAGAATAGAAGAGTTTTGAGAAACGTGTTTGCTCTTGTTCTGTGGGTTTCTCTTTGAAATCATAAAAAGTTCCTGCACATAAATAAATAAAAATGATGGCGCCACTGGTATTGACGTAGAGGTTATGTTTTAATACAATGGGATACAACCAAAAAATCGCCCTGCTCTTGATCAACCCTTTATCAACTTGATTCAGTTTTCATCGCCATGGTAAGTATATACATAATGCACGCACTCGTAGAATTTCTATGATACCTAAGCACCCAAGCTCAAGTGTGTGTCATGTGCTTTGCAGTTTTAAAGATTTGTCGACTGAAGTGGAGTTTGTGTCAGCAGCTGGCGCAACCTTGTGTGTGCTTCAAGATCCGAGAGGATTATCATAACTCAAGTCGAAAATTGAATTGATAAAAACTAAATTGTTTCTCATGGTGATCTGTTGTCAAAAATGATCTATGCAAAGAACGCAGATATTCAGCCGGCTGTTATTATAATAAAAATTTTCTTCAACATTTGAAACACTTTCACAGTATATGGTTTATGTATTTCGAACTTTGAAAAACTCGTTTAGTGCAAACATTTCGCCCAAGTGTCCACTAAAAGACGTTACAACACAATATGTTGATTTATGAGGGCAAAAATGTCCTGGCACCAATGGTTCGAATTGGGACCCTACCAATGCGCCTGTTGGCTTTAGACTATGGGGCAGATATTGTATATTGTGAAGAGTTAATTGACTGGAAGCTACTGAGATCAGTGAGAAAAGAAAATGGTATGTAATAAAAATGTTTATATATTTTCAAAGTGATTAATTTGAAATATAATTTTATTGTATTGAAACATTGCAGTTGTACTGGGAACTATAGATTACATCGACAAAACAGATGGTACTGTTGTGTTTCGAACAACTTCAAGAGAAAAAGATAAAGTAGTATTTCAACTAGGAACTTGCAGTGCTGAAAGAGCAGTTAAAGTTGCACAAATGCTGTAAGTTGCAATTGCTAATTTAAGTGAATTATTTTTTTATTTTAATGCTATGAATTAACTTTAATTCAGCCTTTAGCATTAGAAACTTGTTTGTTTGTTTTTCTGCTTCAATTAAGAACAATTTTGAGGCACACTAAGAATGTGTCAGAGTTGGCTGAAATACTTATGTTGCTGCTAATTTTATGAGCTAATATCTCTATTTGTGCTATGAGAGATGGTGAGAAAACATTTTAAACAAAATAAGAGGATAAAGAAAAAGGGGCTAATCAAACTTAATAGTTGAAGAGCTACCATATTTTATTACATCCATAGAGATGATTAAACACTGATAGAAGATATTAGAGAATGTTTTTCCAATTTCTTATTTCTGCAGTGATGTTAATTTGTTCCTTGTTTGGTTTCAGAGAGAAAGATGTAGCAGCCATAGATGTGAATATGGGTTGTCCCAAAAAGTTTTCTGTTGATGGGGGAATGGGAGCAGCTCTTCTCTCAAAACCAGAAAAGGCTTTTGAAATTCTTAGTTCGCTGGTCAAAGCAGTGAATGTTCCTGTAACCTGTAAGATACGAGTTTTACCTTCTTTAGACGAGACTGTTGAACTTTGCAAAATCCTAGAAAGCAGTGGTATAATGGCTATTGCTGTTCACGGTCGCACCAAAGAGGAAAGGCAGCAACATGCAAATAGAAATGATGTCATACAAGCTGTTGCCAAAAACTTGAAAATACCTGTTATTGCCAAGTTAGTAATGACCAGGGCTAGGAGTTGTATGTAATTTCATGTCTGTTCATTGGTTATGGTAAAAATTGTATCTTACATTTCTAAATTCGGCTTTTAGAAGTTATTGATTATCCTATTAAACCTATTTAATTTCAACATAGAGTACATATTTTCACATATTTAAGGGAAACTGGTGTATCTTTGCATATTTCATATTTCCATTGCAATATATTCCATATAATAATAGACTTTCAAAATTATTCTTGGAAATTTGTTTTAAACTTTCAGTGCTATATAAAGTAGTACATTGGACTTGACAGTGGATCATGGTTTAACTCATATCTTGTTAGGTTCAAAGAGGACTCCATTAGTAATACTTTTAATGTTGAGCCGCATTGCAGCCAGTGCAAAATAATAGTTGGAGATAAAAAGGGCAATTTCATATATGTCAACACGTAAAACAGTGCTTTTTAATCCTCTGCTTTGTAAAAGGCCAACTACAAGAAAATAATTAAGGAACTTACACTTTCAGCAATGCTATGTTCAGTTTATTTTAGTAAAAGATTAGTTGTTGAAGATTTAATGTTATAATTAGACTTGGAATTTTAGGCACAAGAGAGTTATGATTTAGACATCTAAAATAGGTTACAAAATTATTAAACTAGGCATTTAAAAAACCTTAGACATGATAAGTTATATTTCTGGCCTCTAAAGATTATCACGAAAGAATTAAATTAAACACTAGGACTCAAGAAAGTCAAGTATTTGTACATTTTATGAGGGTAACCAATCATATTATCTGATTCACTTTCATTACTTTTTATTTCAATTATTCTTTCTCACTTTTCATTGATTATTGACGTCTCTAGTGGGAGTATCCTCACTCTCCAGTTTGTGTCTCTTAGTACATGTAGCACTAAGTGGCAGTTCTTATCCCTCTTTTAAAGAGCTAGCCTCGCTGTGTAAGAAAATGTAAACTTTTCATTTTTAACCAGTCAACTGCACAGTTGAACCATGTGCAATTGACTAAGAAGTGCATACTAGTCGGAGACAGTGAAGTATTGACTTAATATTGACTTGCAGAGCTCCTTGTGGTTGGGGTGTAGTTGATTGCTTATTTGATCAGGGAATATTCACGTTTACAGAAATTTGAGTAGTAATTTGCATTTCGGTAAAACAAACTTAAAAGATTAGTAATTAAAATATGATAATTCATCAGAATTACGTGTTTGGGGCAGATTTAGGTAAAAAAAAAAATTTTTTAATTGGTAAAAACCGCCTTTTTAAGATATCTTAGGTGCTTGTAGATGCTTTCAGTAGATATATTTTTTTATGATTTGTAAACATCTGCAACTATTTTCCACAATCTCTTAAAGGAACCAAGTAGACCTCTCCCCTAAAATCTGAAGTCTAGTTATAATTTAGTTGTTTTGGGTATTCTATTTATGAAACTTGGAAATAATCTATTCATCAAATATTTACTGTTTTAATTATTTTATTCAATTGTAGTCTATATTTTAAACGTATGTATGTAAATATTTAGGTACTGTTATTCCATATAAATTCTAGCCCTGTTAATGATGTTTAGTTAATTAACAAAAGGAGCTGGAAAAGAAATATTTTTTATATGCAAACAAATATTATTTTCCAGCGGAGGTTCTAAAGAAATTGAAAGCTATGAGGATATTGCTAAGTTCAGAGAAAACACAGGCTGTTCATGTATAATGCTGGCACGGGCTGCTGAATGGAACTGTTCTATATTTCGTGCAGAGGGAAAACTACCACTGGATGAAGTCATTAAATCTTATCTCAAGTATGCTGTTGACTTCGATAATGCTCCTGCCAATACAAAATATTGTATTCAAAATATGCTTAGAGAATTGCAAGAAACTCCTCGAGGGAAGAAATTTCTTGAAGCCCAAACTTTGGAGCAAATGTGGTAATTTTTTATTTCTTTGTGTTTATCATCTACACTGCACTGGAGACTTCAAACTAAAAATATTATTTCTAGTTTAGAAAAATTCTGATTTATGATAATTGCATTTTCAGTCATCTCAAGAACTAGTGTATCTCATATCAAAAGAAAAAGATTCACATCCTTCAAATTACATTCTACATTTGATGTAATAGTAAGATTATTGTTTCCAAGTTATCTCAGAACACATGTGAACTGTGTTCCATCTGTTTTGCTGCAGAGCAGTCTCCCTCTTGATGATTGTGTTTAAAAGGAAGGTTTTTGATAGTCAATGTTTGATATAGTTTTGATATTTTAAGGAATTGCCTATAAATTACTTAATGCTAAAGAGTGGGGAAGAAGGTTTGAAGTGGCGATAAGCAGAGTTACATAGGGGTAGAGGATATTTGTTTAGTGTTACATAATATGGACTTGAAAAAAAAGGAATTATTTCAGCATATGTTGAACAATAAATACATTTTTTTTTAGTCTTTTACTAAAATATATGTTATTAGATGTAATTTGTTAAAATAAATGGAAATATTTGGTCATAATTTGTATTCAATCTGTAAGATAACAAAGAAAATATTCAAAACTGAGATGTGGTATATTCTAAAATCCATTTAAATTGACGCAATACAATCTTGCTCATGCGTCACCCACAATGGTGTAGGCATGACTTGTGATCAAAATTTTATCACCAATGTGTCCTTCCTTGCCCCAATTTTATTGTTAGATGCATTCAGTATTGCCTATAAATTTCTACTTTAATTATCATTAATTTTTATATATAACACATGTAAAATGAATACAAATTGTTTTTACTGTGCTATAATTTATTTTAACTTGCATATACGAGAGGCCAGGGACAAGCTTTACATAATTATTTGGATGGTTGAAGGGCACATTATTGGTGCGTTACAGAGGGGGAGGGTGTATTCAAAATACTTTAAGCAGTTTCTGAAGAAAGCCTTTGATAACTCTGATCAAAACATAGCGGCACTTCAAGGCTATGGGCTAGACAGAGAGGGGAACTTTCATCCAATCAGGTGCTTCATCGCAACTTGAATTTTTGTAATTGGAGCTCCTGATTGAATGACAATGTCCCTCTCTCCTTCAGACTCAGGACTTTGAAGTGCCACTACTTTTAAATGGAGTATATAATTCTTGTTATCTATAATATTATTCTTTTATCTCCACCTTTTGTAAATAAATTAATTGAATTTTATTTTGTCAAAAAAAGTAATATATGATAGAGAAGAAAAGTTCAGTCTTTGATGTAACATTAGGTTATTTTGTCATTGGCCATGCATGTAAATTGCAAAGAAGCAATCAGTTTGGCAAACTCTTCTGTCTTATAATCTTTACAATAAACTAACTTCTTGCTGTAGAAAATGTTTTACAGCTGAATGTTTTAGAAATAAATGATTAATGTAATAACAATTTTTGGCAGCTCTCTGTGGGATATGGGAGAATACTGTCGTCAGAAGCAGCAAGAATATAGAAAACTGGGATTGCTTACTCGTCGAGATGTTGTTCCTGGTTCTTTAGAACCCATTCTTAAAAGACATAAAGTGGAAGAAGAAAATGGTGAAGTATTTGAGCTTCAGTGCGCCTTTTTTCGGAGTGTTTATTTGTCTGATGTTGACCTCCCAAAGACAAGGTTACTTGTCCACGCAAAGAGAAATGGTTTAGGGCAACCGCAGTATCAAACTCAACAAGAAGATAAACTCTTCAAGTCTGTGGTGACTGTCAACAAAAAGAAATATAGTTCTTCATGTTGGTAAGTGATGATAATTAGAAATAGATTGTAATGAAAGTCTGAATTGTAAGTTGATAACTACAAACTATTCCATATTTCATTATTATTTAAGTTATAGTTATTTCTTTGAATGCAGAATGCTCATTTATTAGGAGAATTTTTTTTTCTTCCCTTTTACTTTTTTTTTTTTTTTTTTTTACATTTAGCACTGAAAAGCTACTTAATTTGTTACTTTAGGAATGGAGAAAGAGAGCTGTTCACATCAAATTCTAAATTTTTCTTCAAAAATAGAATTGGGGGGGGATTACCTGACAGAGGAAAAGGTATCTTTATTTCCTCCTGAATTTTAGTAGAAAAAAAAAACATCTGGTAATAAATAATGCTCTAACGAACAGTACAGTGAGCTCTGATAAGAGCTCTAGTTCACCAAATGCACATTGATTCTAAGTTTTTATGTTACGTTTATTAATAAAGTGGAATTTTTGTAATGTTCATAATAAATTAAAACCATATTGTTATTTTCAAAACAGTCTTTTTGTATAAAATTAGTACTCTGGTTTAATAATAAACTAGTAAATCTAGTTGTATAAAAAATTGCAAACCTATAAATAGATATTTTGTAATTTGTTTCTTTCAGGGAGAAAAATAAGCGATGGGCTGAGCAAGGTGCTGCATTGGTTTGTCTCTGTGCATTGGGTATTGTGAGCAAAGAGGACTTGTTAAAAAATGGAAGCCTGTGCTAGCAGTGTTTCAACTTGAGAGTGGTCTTATTGTAATGAGCAAAATGATTGTTTTGCTATGCGACTTCAGAACTACATTCTGAGACTTTATTTGTGTGCATATACTGTTAAAAAATGGAAATAAGGTGATAATTGATGTTCATTCTTGCTTGTAAAATTGTTAATAATCTCAAGGATCAACAATTTTTGTTTTTCTCGTATGTGAATTATGTCCTCAAATTGTAGAGGCAAAAAATGTATATATACTGAAAATATAAAAAATATATATATATAAATTTTTTTTTGATGCTAAAGTTATTTTAATAAGTATCCAAGAAATTAAGTGAATTGTCCACAATTATTATTTGACTAATTCATATTTGAAACATAATGGTTCCTGAAGTCTCGTGCCTTTTTCTGAGATGGTTGGCTAAAATGATTAATTAATATCCTTATACCGTAAATGGGGTCTACGAGACCCTCATGATTGTTTTCTTTTGCAGGTCTCAATTTATCTTTGAATTCAAGATAAACCGCCTCATCTGCTTTGAAGTTCATTGAATATCAGTGTTCACAGGAAGTGGCATATCGGATGCTATCAATTTTCTTTCAATGATTATATTTCCAGAGAGGACTCGCAGATGTACCTTACCAGTTGCGTTAGTGTTCTTGCTCTCGGGTGATTTGTGTATAAAAGTTTCTCTGATCCTATAGATGCCAATTCTTCAGAATGTGTGAATTCGAGGCATGATGCAAATTATAATTTTAACAACAAATGTGGTCTTTGTTTTTAATGAGAGATGTTGTCTTCATCGTGATGAAGCTGGTTCATCAACATCTGTTGCTTCTGATGTGACGTCATGGATACTCACAGCGACCACAGACACAGAGCTTTCGTATAACAATATACGTGACCGGATGTCACGCTGGGACACAAAGTCCGTTCTGGCGCACCCACGGCTGGTTTGCCTCGATCGCAGGAGCGATCTTATCCGATTGAGACCCTTCTTCCTGTGGCGAGGCTAATCCGCTCCCAAGCGTCCCCAAATAGATGCCATGAGGCACGCTGGCTAATACGTTACACTGAATATGAGAAGAGAAAAACTCTGTAACTACTGCAAGTTTGGGATAGCATTATGGTTTATTATTAATATTTCCAAGCATATAGATTTGTTTGGATATTTTATTGCATATTAATTTTTAGGAATTGTCTTTGCAGGAAAGGAATGTGAAAAGTTTATCTTCAGTACAAAAATTCCTAAGATACTGACAAAAATATCACAGAATCTCGCAGACCCCATTATACCACAGTCATCTTAAACATTTATTGTACCAGTTAGGGTTTAATTCCATCCAGTCAGTCCCAAACTTCACATCATTTCAAAAGTTAGGTAAAGACCACTTACTGTCAAAACAATTATGTAAATGTGTGTGGTAATTCACAGAATATTGGTTTAGATTATTGCATTATAATTTAGCACATCCTTGTACTATTGATGTTGATGATGATTCACACCATGCACATGAACGGCATAGTGGATTAAAGCCTCCAATAGTGGTTGGTGGTTAGATACAATTTCTTTTAAATTTGGTTTGTCACTGCTACTGTATACGAGTATTATTTGGAAGTAAATTGACAACGAAAGATTAACTTAGTAACCAAAAGCTTAGATGTTCAACACTACTACAGGATTGTAGTTACAGGTACAATAAATTTGCTAATGGTAGACAAAATATGTGAGTTAGATACTACAAAAATAATTAATACGAGATGACCAACAATCAGGAAATGTATGATATTAAATTTTCTTTACTAAAAACCATTACTGTTATGTACCCCTGGAACATAAACAGAAAAGCAGCATGAGCAAAAGTGAAACCAATCTTCTCTACACAGCTTCACATCAATTAACCCACATCATAGACCTTAGTAAAATTGGAAAAAAACAATCTGAAAAACTTATAAATACTTTCAAGGGCCAGGATGGAGAACCAAAAAAAGAATAGTGGTGCAAGCTGTTCTTATGTAATTAATAATTTTTCTAAATCATACTAATATATCCTACCATGTTTGAAGCAATATTTCATCACACTGATTGAAACTATATCATACCATGTCCTACATGTCAAGTTCCAAGACCCAGTTCAAAATGGCCTTTTTTGTTTGAACGTGTGACAATTTGTTAATGATCGTTCTTTTGTGTGAAAGTTGTGTGCATAGCAAAATAGCTTGTTTCTCAGGTGTGCTCAAATTCACAAGTCAATATGTAAATTATAATGCTGCTACAAGTCTAATACAACTGCTACAAACAAGTAATGAATGTGCAAAGCATGGGTAAGCTGTTTTACTCGAAAAGAGCTGCAAAAATCTTAATTTCTTCTTTCTAATAATTAATTAATTCCAACTTTGGGTAATTCCTTTGCTCCATCAAGTGAGCAATATAAATAACATTCATCAACCTCTTATTTCAGCATCAGTGGAAGCTTTTCCAGCTTTCAGCTTCATCCCTGCACCCATAAACAAACATTTTCCTTAAAATTCATAAACTACAGAAAATGTAGAAAATAATAATTGTTCACACATTTATTTCATTAATAGCAGTTGCTAAAGTTGATTTATTTATAGTAAAAATTAGTACATATGTTGAACTAAAGTGGAAACTAGCAGTGCTCCAAAATAACGAATACTTTATTGTTATGAAAAATGATGAGTACATTTCAACTTGGAAACCTCGTAATATTTTAGTTATTGTGTGCAAATCTCTCTCCATTAAACTACTTGAAACAGTTCTCCTCAAACCCCCCTTTATAAGTAATTTTGAGGGGGGGGGGTTGATGGAAACTGGATAATTTTCTTAGCAACAAATATTTTTCTTGGTGATATTTAGCATTGTTCCACATCAATTGACATAGCAACAATGCAAGTTTCTTTAGCTTTAAAAAATGTTATCTTTGCACTCATGATTGAACAATTGTCACAAAATTAAATCAATTACAGAAAGTGTTGTAGAATGTAAGTTTCAAATCTTCTCAGTACAATGATTTTGTTTCATTTCTTTAAAAATATTGTTATATGTAATTTTTACTTTCTCTTATGTACAAAAACATTGAGTGATAAACAAAATTGTACAGAGAAAGTTACATAACACAATGAAAAATCAATTTAGAGATTTTAACGGAATATAAGTTTTGGGATTACTGATAACAAAAAGTGATATTTTTAAAAATGTTCATGTCTGTCAATAATATTAGCATCTAAACTATTCATAGGATTTTTCTGAAAATGAAAATTACTTGGTCAATCTCAACTGACTTATAAAGCCCTGCAATTTTTTAAAGAATTCTTTGAATTTTAAGGTGTTTTCCACTGAAGCTCCTGGCCATTATCATAATTGTCAACCCGGCAGCGGTGCTCAAATTTACTCCCTCTCAAGATCCTTGGGTCCAAATGAACCCATATAATTTCTCTTGCAAATTATTTACTTTTCAATAATCATATTTAGTATACATAACAGGAAATTAAACACCTAAAGGTTAATTGTTTACTTAGCTATCCGGAAGACGCCACATCTAAGACGCATGTGCCAACGTTTCGGTTGCCGTTCTGCAACCTTCCTCAGGGCGTAGTATTGTAACCAGAGAATGATTGTAACACTGACTCGTGTCGCTGAAGCCTACGCTCTTAAATGTTAATTATACACTTATTTTATTTAAAATATTGGTCCAACTGATAATGGCCCCTGAAAAATATGCGTGATGGTCAAATAATGAATTGTAAATATTGAAAAATTGTGTAACACACATGTAGTACAAATGTAATTCACATGATTTTTACCTGTAAAAGGTTTTATTTGGAGTAGTGCAAAGTAATTTTGTAATCTGTTTTGCTACACCAAAAGGGGGATGGTGGCACTGGAGTAGAATTAAAAAGAAAAAGCTGAATTTTGAAGAGATGAATTATTTATATTTCTAGTTTTCAATACAACTTCTCTTGAAGTTTGTTGCAGGTGTGTTCTACGTTCAGTAACGATTTTACAAAAGATAACTAAGTTTTCTATGGAAAGTCTTATTTTGTGATTAAATTTTTCTAAGCAATCTGGATTTACATTTGCGGACATAATGACGTAATGTAAAAGGTCTATATTGTTAAATAATAAACTGCCACATTTCTTTTTTTCTTTTCGATTAATAAGATCTGATCGTATCAACAGCACCCTTAGTAGAATTATACTTTATCATTATTTCTGTTTTTTTTTTTCTTCGGACTCGCAACCTGTTGCATCATTGTGAAGTGTGCTTTGAAGAAGACACTGGTTCTCTCTTGGCTTATACGACACTAATATCGGGTCACTCGCAAAAGCAAAAATAGAATATTAGTTAGTTATGCCGGTACCCATTGTCGGGAGGGGGGGGGGAGGTTGGCGGTACACAAGATATGTTTCGCGCATAGTTCCAATGGGAGATGTCCCTTTTTAGAAGCTCCTGACCCAAATGATCTGATGTAAAAATTGCCACGTTATATTGTTTATTTGCCACAAAAACAAGTCTTTGGTATGTACAGCCGAAATTGACAATTGTCGTGAATTACTACTAATTATTCATCTATTATACAATAATGGGAGAGGAAAAAAACATCTGAATAAAATGAATGAATGAAAAAACATTCTAATTCAAGTATTAGAAAGAACCGCCTTGCTGTAGTACTAATGAGTTGAGATTTTGCAAGAGAATGGATCAGCTATTCCTAGAACTTCGATAGTGTATTGGTCGGCGAAACATTGTCATTGTGCACCTTATCAGAAGATAGTCTTCGATGACAATATGATCCTTCCGTCGCTGATTTCTATGAATTAATCGAGTTATTGCATCAAATATCTACCGACAGTTCAACATCAGAAATGTGGAATATTTCTAATTTTTATCATTCAAACTGAATTTTTGAAAATTGCAAAATGTTTGAAATTTTTGTATACCTGCCTACAACATTATTGAAGATAGTTTTACTTTCAGGCGATTGCTACCTCTAATATATTGTGTATATACAAGGTCTGTCCCAAAAGTACGTCGACGGAGACCTCCTTCAAGCATCTCGTCGTTGCTTCTTTGACGGCTTCCAAAGTCCCGAAATGGTGGCCCTCGAGTTCCTTCTTGATCCTCGGGAACAAAAAGAAGTCCAGTGGTGCCAAGTCGGGACTGTTAGGCGGCTGGAGCAATGTTACCACACCGCGCTTCGTAAGTACTCTAATAATGAAGGAGGTGTGCGACAGCGCGATGTCATGGTGAAGATGCCAAGTGCTGGCGATCTCCTATCTGACACGTTTCACTCTGTTTTGGAACCTTTTCAGGATTTGCAAGTAAAAATGACTATTCACTGTTTGCCCTTGTGGCACAAACTCTGAGTGGACAATGCCTCTTTTGTCGAAAAACACGATGAACATGACCTTTCCACGGGACTTGCTCTTTCTCGCCTTTTTGGGCGCGGGGAAGCTGGCGTGTGCCACTCAGCACTTTGTCTTTTGGTCTCCGGGTCATACTCGAAAACCCATGTTTCGTCACCCGTAATCACATTATCCAAAAAATTCGGATCATTTTCACACTGCTCCAAGAGGTCACGCGAAATCCTTGCACGAGCAGCCTTCTGTTCATCGGAAAGGACCTTGGGGACCATCTTCGCACAGATCTTCCGCAAGCCCAAATCTTCGGTAACAATGCGATGCACAGTTTTAGGGATATTACACACATCTGCCAGCATTCTAACACTCAGGCGTCGATTGGAGTTCAGCATGTCCCTCACTTTCTTCACATTGTGATCGAAATGTGACGTTGATGGGCGTCCAGAGCGGTCTTCATCCTCGACGTCCTCTCTGCCCTCTCAAAACATCTTATGCCAGCGGTAAACCATATTGTTGGACATGGTGCTATCACTATAAGCTTTCCTTAGCATGGCAACTGAGCGCCCGTTTTCTTGAGCGCAATACAAAATTTTATTGCGTAACGCTGGTCCTTGAAACGTGGCATCTTAAAATTCCGACGCATCACTAACACAAGGGTTGAAACTAGCAGCGATGCGCACTGTGGAAGAGCCTGCAGACCGTTGACGTGTTTATCCTTGGCTTCCCTAAACCCCACACAACCATTCACGTCACTTGGCTCCCCTTGCTAGTGGCTTGCTTCGGCGGCGCAAGGTCATTCAACTTACTTTTGGGACAGACCTTGTATATATTGTGCTCGCGCTAAACCGTTCGACCTATCTCCTTCAAAATTGATATTCCCCAATCGATGTATCTATGTCGCGACCCTTGAATTTGAAAAATTTGTCACGTTCACGTTCACGTGAAGTCCCTAGGACATTTTCAAAGGTTTCAAAAAAATTGGCGCAAATTTTTTAGATTAAATTTTGTAGTCAGAAAGCGTAATGGACGAGAATGGTGCAGGTCTGATATTCGTTGAAATCCTTGAGTTTTCGAATATTGCAAAAATTCAAAATGTTTTCGGCGTCTTCCTACAACTAAAATATTGAAGATAGGTATTTTTTAAATTATTTTTATATTTATGATCACTTTATTTTCAGAAACTAAACACTGTCTCCTATCAATTTCATATAAATAGTCATTTCGATTGTTAAATTGATAGAAATGATTGAAGATTGAAAAATAAATAGTACGTCTCTCCCCAACCTTTCCAGACAGGTGTCCTCAATGAATCAGGATCGTTCAAAAGTTGTAATTTGCAATGAACATTTCGCTACGGACAATATCATTCCGAGGGCCCCAAGATATTCCACCACAATATCAACCAATTCTTGAGCTCCCGGGACATATTTTGCTAACAGCACCAGATCGTCAGCAAATGCTAACACGGACACACTCCTTCTCTATAGCGTGTATCCTGACATATTTTCCAATTTCTCAAGCAGGCACTACATGATGAGATTAAAAAGGAGTGGGAACAAGGGATCCCCCAGTTTTATTCCTCTACGAATTGTCACCTCAATTCCTTTCGAGGGGTGCTGAATGACGCTGGAAACATCGGCGTAATAGTACATTACCAAATTGGAAAAGGCGTCAGGTATCCCTTTCCTTAACAGAGCCCACCGAATCGCCGAGGAACAGTGTCAAATGCTTTGGATATATCTAGCACACCTACACCACCCTCTGTTTTTTCACGTCACTGACTGCTTAATGAAGAATTTGAATATTAGCGAAGCAGCCAGGTTCAGGGATAAATCGTTTCTCACGTGGATTAAACTTCACCACGGATCGAATGCGTTTATCCACAATGCCCCAAAAGATTCTGCACAGAGAGAGCATTAGATTCTGCATTCGAGAACTAATTGTGAAGGGGCGATAGTTAGCGACCACCGTATTATCCTTACCCTCTTTTGGTATAAGGATGGTGCGATTAGTTTTCCACCCAGAAAGTCAATCGCACAAAGCCACTGTATAAAATTTGGGTGTACAATAGGAACAATATTTCAATTCTTGTTCCTGAGAATATGTGGCTAACTTTTATCTTATCAGGTCCTGGAGCCGTGGCATTTTTCATCCCAGCCAGACGACTTTTAATTTCGGCAACTTGCACCGTGTATAGAATTGTGTCTGGGTCCATTTCAGGTGTCAACAATTTATCACCCTCTCTTAATTCGGAAAGCCGAATCGGGGGCGTGTTGCCCCACTAACTCCATAGGTCTCGTTCAATTGGTCCTGGGATACAATATTTGTTTTGAGTTCATTTCCCACCTCAATGATCTCTTGATCTACATTAGTTTTAGAAGTGCACCAGGTTCCTATTAAAGTTGAAATAATGTTCCTTCCCGTTAGTCTTGACTTCGAGTGTGGCTCTGTTAAGACAAGTTTTAGAAGTTACGTCTCCGGGCGTCATAGCAGCCGAGGACTCAATAAAAGTTTGATACTGTCCTAACCGACCAGCGGCGTCGGAATGGGCCATGTCAACAGCAGATAAAACAGAATCAAGAGGACGGGTTCAGCCGAAAGCTCCTGATTCAACTCCGAAACTATGACGGACTCCTCGTTAGGGGATCGCCCCCAATCTGCTTCCGGGGAGGCAATGTCTACCATTGCGAGTTCCTCAGGGCCACTGCCTATGGGCCGAGGTTTTGGAAGCGAATCGGTATAAGGCTGTTTGCTTATCTCGACCTGTGAAGTCGTTTCCACCCCCTTCGGAACAGTGTCCGAGCAGGGGATCATCGGCTTTCTTCCTGTCCCAATGGTAGGCCTTCGATTCAGGGGAGAAGAAATCAGCATAGGAATTTGGCAGTCAAGCATAGGAAGAAGCAGTCAAGTCAGTCAGTAGTCAGTCTGTGTAAGTTAGTGTAAGTCGGTGTGTGTACGTCAGGGAATAAGCAGTCAGTCCGTCAGTGTGTCTGAAGTGGGAGCTGTGCTATAAATGGTGCATTGCGGTGAACAGTGGTGCAGTGGGGAAACAGCTGTCAGCAGTTTGAAGTCTGCAGTGGAAGCTGAGCTGTGAAGTGTGCATCGCGGTAAACACTGCAGTGCAGTGGACCCTGGTGTGCAGTTAAGTGTGGTCTGCGCAGGGAATTGTGGTCAGCTCAGTGGACAGTGGTCAGTGCAGCGGACTGTGTGATACTGTAGAAGAAGTGATCAGTGTAAATAAATAATCCAGAGGACGGAGTCGTGTGTAAGAAAAATAATTAAGTAAATAGTGTTAGTAGATTTTAGCGTAGAATTGTTTACGAATAAACGTTATTGTTAAATGTTACCCGAGTATGTTTTAATTCACCACGAGAAACGTTACAGTATTTTAATAGTTGTTAGTACTTGCCTGTTATTAGTCTATCATTGTGAAAGTGGGAACAAAAGATTACCACACTGTTATTTGGTTATAAAAATATAGACGGCAATCTAAAATATATATTTAATTGTTACCAAGTAGCGTCTTATTTGGATAAAGGTCCATCCAATATGATGGTCATAATAAATGCTCTTAATAAAACAAAAAACTGTGGAGCAAATTTGAGAAAATTCTGAAAATATCATAGAAGTTGATGTAAAGTACCTCAAAAAAAATTATAAACCGAATCTATTTGAAAATCGGCAGGTAACAACATCAATTCGATCGCTCGAGAAAAATACTTTTTGATGCAAATCCTGTGTACGGTTTAAGCGATTGCCGAAATCATTTTTGATATCAAGGACCCACCAGACGTGGATTCTCCGTGACCCACCAGATATGAATTACGCCGAAACGTCAAAGGCGTTGATGTGCATCACAGGAACCTCAGATCACAAACTCACAACCAGTCGCGTAACGTTCGGGCTCACAACGCGGACGGGCCCAGGTAAAAGAGGGCCTTTTTTAGGGGGTAGTTTTATTGTTTAAGATACTAACACTAAATGTATTTATTCTACATTATTATAAAGACGCCCGGATAAAAATTTTGAGGGCGGGCCCGCACTCATTTTGTCTGCTCACAACGGCTGACACTACAATTTCCGAGCGAAGAAATCGCATACCTAGATTAGTCAAGAATTTTGTGAAGAACATTTGTTACATCTCGTAAATATTATTTTAAGCACGTGCCTTTAAAATTATATCAAATTCGATTAAATATGCATAAAAATGCATTAAAAATGACGGATGTAAAAAAACACTTGTTAGTCAAAATCGACAAAAATGTAAAAGAACGACTTATAAAAATGGGTCATTTCCTTTGGACATAACATAAAATTAATTTCTGTACTAAATTGCATTGTTCTAAAGTGAAAAGAAAAAAAATCATTAAAATCCGCATCTACTGATGACCTCGTGCTACTCGGTTTCTCTGCGGAATCAAAGGCTGAAAGGCCGTGCCTCGCGTGGGTTATAACTAGCGTGAACGACGCGTGACTCCTTGCTTCAGTTTGAAGCTTCATGTTACTAGAGATTCTGGAGGTCAAGCGATCAGTTTCAATAGAAGCTTCCACCATGCCGTTGTACGTTATTAGGCGAGAAAATGGGCCTTCCGAGGGTGGGACGGTGTTCCAACAGTGCAAGATGCATTGAAGGGTGTCAAGACTGCAATACGATACTTGAAGACAGAAGACAATGCAGAATCAAGAATGGCGAGAGCACGATCTTTGAAGAAGAGTATACAAAAAATACTTAAGAAACACCAACGCAATAAACAATTGAAAGTAATTGCTGTTTAAACGACAAATATATTTAAAGTTTCAGTTCACGCTGGCAATATATTTATCGCTATCTCTGTACTAATAAAATCAATAATTGTGGAGAAATTCAATTTAATTTTGACCTTATCGGATATGGTAAATCTCTGATACGAGTACAATGAGCCAAAAATGCTCCTCAGAAAAAGTCCTCAGAAGTTCAGAATAACCGAAGTCGACTGTATTATCGATCATTTTCGAATATTTTCGTCGTAATCTAAGATTCAATCAATATACCATTGATGAAAGTATATTTTCAATTATTGTAAATATTTATACGTCATTTCTTTTTAATTAAATTTTTAATTTAATTTGTAAATATATTTAGTTTAAGAGTGAATAAATAGAATATTCTCAGCTAATGTTGAAAAATAAAAAAGACCCTCAGCATAATTTATCACTAATCTAACCCCCCATTCACCCATGAAACGAAGCGTAAAACTTCCTGATAGCCCCTCCCCTTCTTTAGCGTTAGGTAATTTATGGATGAAAACTTTGCAAATAGTTTGTAATAAGCGAGAGCTAATATGTTAATGAATACTTGCCAAAAACGCTAATTTCCACCTACATTCATAATTCAATTTGTATATGAGGGTAGAGATATGGTACCAGAATTTAAGAAATCGTGCACAGAATACACTTCTCCCCACAGTACGTCACGTACTGTTTTTTGACGTTAAATAAAATAATAAATGAATATTGTTTTCTTTCTACTAAGTCTGCTGCTACTCACGTTGCAAATTATCTTGAAGAAGAACCTAAGAAATAACTACTAATCAAAGTTTATCACCATTGGGCATATTGAATAAATAATACTTTATTTTATGTAATATTTAACAGTACGTGGATGGTCTTGTCCAAAACGTCTGTTGTGTTCACGTTATCAGAAATGTTCATATAAACATTTGCAAGAATAATTTATTGACTTGTTCCTTACTGACTAATTCCTTAACAATAATTTAATGTCCACTATGTTTCACTACTGAACTTTGTAGACTAAACAGATTTGTAAACGGGCTGTTACCTGGGCAACTTTTCTTTTTTTGTTTTAAATTCCCGCTTTTTCTCAAGAAAATATTCTCGAGTCCCTGTCCGCAAATCTCTCCTGGACCGTCAAATCCTGACACAATTTACATTATTTAAATCATAAATTTCTTATGCTCGTAAGTAAAGATGCTAAATATGTAGTAATAGTCTATTTTGAAAATTACAAGATTGAAATTTGAAATGAACTCATGTTATGAGGTTAATTGTGGAATCGAGTTCCGTACTCCATGATGCAAACTCCAGAACCAGAACGCTCCAGGCGAGGAGGGTGAAGCCAGAGCGAAGCGTTCTTACAATCCTAGGCCGGGTCGGATTGTAGTATTTCAACATGGTTGAAGTTGCATTGTATAATTGTAAACGATTGTAAATTCGTGGGATATGTGCTTTATTAAAATAGGAATGTAAGATTTCGATCATAATATTATCATTAGATTGCAAATTTTAACGAATTACATAGGTGTCAAAAACAGCTGGGTTCATTGTTTACATTTCGATTTTATGATATTTCGTGAATATCTTGCGTGACAATCATCAAAATTATGCTTAAAACCCCCAAAATACAAATTATGGATTGGCCAAGAGGCAAAAGTATGTATATACTAGTTATTTTACATTATATGATAATTGTCAATGGATCTCTTATAATTAATTATACAAAATAAAGTAAATTACATCAATTAATTAAATTCACAAAATTGATTCATAAAAAAAAGGCTGATTATAAATCTATTTCAGGTTTCTCACAGAGGCAATTGAATTCTCAAAAGATGAGCGAGCCACGTATGTCTACTGCAATATGCCATTTGCTTTTAGCAGGCTCCTCTGCATGGACATGTAGAACTTTACACAATGCTGGTCAGATTCAATGGGCATATGGTACACTTGGTCTTTACTTTGCAAAATCAGTTGTGGGCATTTTACGATATGGTGAGTATAACAAATAGAAGAAACGGCAACTTTTGAAGGCAACACCTTTCAATTTTTACGAAGTTAACTGCTGTAATACTTTATTAGGAATTTTTCCCTGTAAATTTTAACTCTTCAATCATTAGGCTATATGAAGATTTAGATAAAATTTTAAGCTTGTCTTGGCTTCTATAGTACTTTTGGCACAGCTATTAGTTATTAAGATTACGTTTGACCACAATCATTGACATATTCGCTACTTCTAATTTTGTCATTTGTAGGAGATGCTGTTGATGGGAATAAATATGCTGATACATATGACAAGGTAGAGTTTTGTAGCATTGCCCTAGGCCCACCACTTTATGCTGCAGATCTCTACCTGCAGTATGGATCATCACAACTGCTAGCTCTATTTCAGGCTGGCCTGGGATGTATTCCTCTGTTCGGGAATTTAAATGAACATGACGCATTACAAGATAGTTTGGATTTAATAGTGTGTGGGAGTCTACTTGCTACAGCATTAACTGGAATAATTCATGATAATTTGCATGCACTTTGGGGTTCTTCTTGGTTTTACCTTAATTCATACATAATTAAGAAAAAAGAGGCCATTGGAGGCATGCAAGCCGTGAATGTTTATGTAGTTGGTCTGTGTCTTTATACCTTAATAATGTACAGAGCTTTAACTGATAAATGTACATCTGTACACATTTAGCAGCAGTCTGTATCATTTATAGAAAGTGTTATCTTGTATTTTACTGCCAAGAAAAGGCCATTGAAAATAAATATAATTTTCAAGGTTTAATTTTTTTAATGTAAACATAGCATAGTGAATACCATAGGAGCTTTACACTACCACACTGCACTTAAAAAGCTGATTCTTCCTCTCTTGCTATTTTGTCCTATACAGTGTGTCCTGGGGATACATACTCTCTGGTCCAAGGAAGAAAAAATGACACTTTAAAAATAATCTCTTAAGATTTCACATGCCTGATGAATGTTTAGCCATTCGAAATCTTGAAGGAGTTTATTAGACAAAATGTGCTTAAAATTGACTTAAGAGCTTATTTTCAAAGTTTCATTTTTACCTCCCTTGTCATTCTGTAAATTCAATTGAAAATAATTATTTATTTGATGTATCATAGTGAAATTTTCAGTGGATTTTAAAAGCTTTCTCTTCTTATAAAACTAATCATTATATTTCTCTCATACAATTTATTTCATCTCTGTAAGTATTATGTTATATTTTCACTTTCAGGTACCTCTTCAATAAATGGAAGATTAGAGAATATATATAACAAAACATATAGTGTGTGTCGATCATTATGTATGAATTTTTTTCTGGCCGATCTTTATCATTTTTCACCCCTGAACCACGAGATTGTGCAATATATGCCTATTGTACATGTTGTTGTGGGTTTTCTGCCTTTGGTTACTAAAGCACTTAATCGGGACAGTGTTATTGATGCAGTAGCTAATGATACTTTTTGTGTAGTATCTGGAATAGGCCTTGGTTTAGCTTCAGAAAATTATTTCGCAATTGCAGCCTCTGCGCTTTATGGAGTTATTTATTTAGGTGATCAATTGGGAGATTCTTTTCAGTTCAGAGATCAAATTGTAGAATTTGTAGGATTGGTAGCAGTTGAACTACTAATGGGTAGTGCAATAACTAACTCAAATTGGTTTCATGATTTTGCCAACAAACTTCATTAATTTTACTGTTGTATTTCAGAGCAGCACAATAACATTGTTACTTTGAGAATGTATAAAATATAAATATTTTTATAGTGAAATACATTGATTCTTTATGAGAAAGTATTTACTGTGTTTATATAGAATACATATTCATAAGAAAATATCTAAATTTTGTGTATACAAATTTCAAATTTTCTAATACACAAATTATGAATTAATAATGAGTTCAATGTTCAAAAGGCCCCATTATTCTCATAATATGAATTAATCTAGTCATTGTCTTCATTGTGTGTTGTCAATAAGGAACTACAACAGAAATTAGGTTACTTTATCTGTAAATATTTTTTAACATTATTTCAAAATAGTTTTTGTGTATGCAATACACAGATTAATATTTACTATTTAAAAATAATGGTCTGATCCTTAAGGTTCAGGTAAATCGCATATTATCTAAGATCCTTTTTATCTGAAAGATAAGTAAATTGCATAATACAAGAAAACTGCTTCCTGCTCTTCGTACATTTTTATTAAAATTAATATTATTTAAACCAAGAGAATATAAATTAATTTTTTTATAAAACTGTAATTTTAAATTTTTATAAAAAATACTTTCCCCCCAAATTGTCCCTCCCACCCCCAATCAAAGATTCAAAATGCACTCTCTGGTTAAGATGATAATGACAGTAATGGGAATATTTGTAATCAACGTTTGGGAGGCAAAATCAAAATCTCCTTGATCTTATTTGTATAAAAGCATTACTTTAACATATGTGTTGTGTTTTGTACTGATATTATATTCATTGTGCCAAATATTATTACTTGAATCAAATTGTTTCCACTCTTGATTAAATATGACATCAGGACGTTGCTATCACAGCTATGCTTGCCTCAATCTATCGATGCAATGCCTTGCTCTTTACTTCCAATGTGTTGTAGCAACATTCACCCCCACCCCCCTAAAGTTACACCTGTGACTAGTTTTGCAAAAGAATTAATAGAATCATAATCCTGTAATAGTTTATATATTGTTAAAATTTTGTATAGGATTCAAAATCTGAAAATTTTGAATAAATTGGGAAATTATTTGCAATGCTGTTCACTCATTGTACAAAAAAAAAGTAACCATTTTAAATATTTTTCATAAAAAACAAAATTAACATTTTATACAGGAGCGGATCAAGATACAAATTTTGGGAGGAGAAATTCAAATGTTTTGGTCAAATGTGTCATATTACACATTTTGTAAAATATTGCTGGCTACATTCTTGCTGCTATATGATTGTATTTGTTTTAACAATTATCCAAAAATATTTTTGTTCGAAAGTTTTGTGACAAGTTAAAATTAATAGTTACTGAAAAAATTTAAAGGGAGAAATTTCCCCCATTTTCCTCCCCGTGAATCCGTTCCTCTTTTATACAATATTCTTTGCTACATCTAAATGTAGTGAATGAGGGCTAGTTAAAGTCTATGGAATGCATTCCAGTCTGAGAATTGAGAAATGGTCAAAAGAATTCTACTTTTAAATGAAAAGTACTTGCAGTTCATTTGTCAGAAATCATATTTTTTCTGTTTCTTTTATTACTACTTTAGGTTCAATTACTAGTTAGAGAAACATTAATATGTTCAACCCCATTAGTTGTTTAATAAAATAAAAAGTAATAGTTTTGTGAACAAATGATAAAATTTGAAGTAAAAAGTTAAGTACTTGTTAAAAATTAATATTTTTAATCTTATCATTCTAATTAAAGTCAAAAAGCCTGGAGACCATACAGATGAGATTTCTATGCCAACTCGCAGGAGTTAAGTTATGGGATCGGCAAAGAAGTAAAGATATTGAAAAATACTTGAAACAAAGAATGTAGTAGAAGAAATAAAGAAAGGTTAGAAGAAATGGTTATATCTCATCAACATCATAATGCAAGAAAGATTCCCAAAGATAGCATTGAAGTATAAACCATTAGGGTAAAGAGACAAGAGAAGGCCACAAAACAATTGGTGATATCAGTAACACGGAAGGGCTAAGAACACATTAGGTCTTCTGAGATGCAGGCATAGGCAGCAAAGCTATACTGCAATTTACCAAACTCTGCCTCTGGTAAGTATCAGCTATTGACGGTTTCATCCAATCGGGAGCTTGAACATCACCATAGTGACATTCCTATGGTGACGTTCTAGCTCCCGATTGAATGGAACTGTCAACAGCTGATACCTGCCAGGGGCAGAGTTAGGAGAATCGCAGTATAACCATCTGTAGTATATAATCAAGATATCTTTTCTATTTTACATGCAAACTGTCACTATTAAAAATCAATTAATCTCAATTGGCTCCAGAAAATTAACTTCAAAAACCTAAAAAATTGTAATGTATTTTTACAAGCGAGGTATTGAACAAATGTTTAGTAAGTTCATAACAATTAAAATATTTCATGAAAGTGGCCATCACTATTTATGAAAAATCTCTCCTTTCAGCATTTATCTCAAGTATTATCAGATGATTTCCTGCATTTCATGTTTTTTTTCTACTAATGACATTTGTTTCAGTTCACAAGTTTTCCTCATATCCAAATTTGTCAGTTTTTAATATATCATTGTAATTTTTGTGATTTTCAGGTAATGCTGACTCAAGTGCAAAACATAGAAGTTTATATGATATTTTAGAGTTCTCCAGCATATCTTTAGGTTTACCATTGGTTGTGACTGATATCTACTTGTCTCTTGAATACCCATATTTAGCTTCACTTACTCATGCTGTTGGTGGCTTCTTGCCCATCCTAACACTGAATATTTGTAGTAACATTTTATCATTTGAAATATTGGAACTTGAATTATTTGGAAGTATTGTATCATTTGGTTACATTGGGTTGAGGAATAGGAATTTGTGGGCAGTTGGTGCTGCTTTTAGCTATGCTTTCAGTTATTATGGACTTTGTGGATATCATAGGGAAAATCATGAACCTTTTCTTTGTGACTTATTCTTAGTGGGGCTGAGCCTTTTCAACATTTTTGCTTGTAAGGCAATTACTCATGTAAAAAAAACTTGAATGTTTGTATACATTGTAAATAAAATTTTAATGCATATTGAGCTAAGTTCTTTAAAGTGATTTTTAAATACTTATACTCAAAATTTCCATACTGGGAAAGAAAAACAAGAACAAGAAATTGAACCACTTTTGTATAGCAATTAATATTACTAATGTCATTTTAAAAAAATGATAATGTCATTAAAAAAAGAGCTATTTTATTTTTTAGCTCCTTGAATTGGTTATACTTTTTAAGATACCTTAGTATCAGTTACTTACTTTGTTTTTAACCCTGTTCTTGTAGAAGTTGGCATAACAATAGATCCCAATCTTTTATCAATATATTTTAATCACACAAATTGCTTAATATTTTTACAAACTGTTTGAAAACTTATTAGGTTTTAATGATTTTCTCCATGATTTTCATCTTGTTTCTACATATTAAAGGATAATGTACCCCTTTATAATTCCCAGCTTCTGTTTTTAAGTTTCTGCAAATTATTTACTTTTGCATTTCTAATTTGATTCTATAATTTTTGTGATTTTCAGGTTCTGCACATGATACTTTTGCAAATTTATATGACCTCATAGAGATAAGCAGCATCTGTTTAGGTATTCCACTGATTACTACTGACATGTACGTGCATCACCATTACCCTCCAGAAGGTGCATTCGTTCATGCTGCTTTCGGATTTCTTCCTTTAGTAGGAATGTTTGTGAGAAGTGATCCTAATGTTGTAGGTGCAGCCTTAAATTCTGTATTATTTGGATGCACCATATCCATGATAGCTATGGGTTTTGTAAATTCCAATTATTGGGCAGTTGGTGGAGGATTTTGGTACATGCTCATTTATGACTTTAAACCGAGTGTTTCATATCGTAACTTTGATTCTCTCAACATGTACACTCTAGGCTTGTGTCTCTTTAATTATTTTGTGTGCTACGGCCTCATGAGTCCTGTGTAACATATAGTTTCCCTAAAGTATTGTGTAATTTGTGTGTTTTCCTAAATGCAATAAATCAGTCACTACTTTTACAGAAATGAATATTAATGTGTATGAATATATTCTGATAAACAAATATTTTTTAAATCATGATTTAATATGATGGAATAAAACAGTTTGCAGAAAAAGATAGTGTTTAGATCCAAGGTACATAATATCAGAGTTTGCTGAAGTCAATCAAAGGAATTTAATTATTTCAGTTAAGCATACATTGATTACTAATTTTCAGTGTTGTGATGAAATTGGCTTACACAACATTTTTAACAATATTTTCAGTACAATTTACCTAAAGAATTATTTGCATGCCAGTAAATGTTCTTATGTCCAAAATGTCCTTTACTAATGTCTCAAAAATATTTTATCAAAACAATTTGTGAAAACTGATATTTAAAAAAGTTTGATTTTGTGAGTGGAATTACTTTTAAAATTTAAAAAATGTCCTTTGTTATACTGATTTTAGGCATTTTCTCATAAAATTTTTATAAGGATCTCTGGAAGATCAGATGTATTTCACATCTTGGAATGTGTGGTAGAAAAATTAATCTTTTTGAGCATTTTTTCTTGTTTATTCTAAGGATCAGTACTCTAATTAATGTATTTGAATTTTCCAATTTGTGTGATTCATCTCTAAATTTGTTCTTAACATTTGAGTCATAAATTTTGTTACAGTAAACTAAAATTAATTCTTTACTGTTTTAACCTAACTAACTTGAATACTATTTTTCAGGATAGCAGAGAATCAACACTTTCAAACTTTTTTATTATTCTATGTTTTTTATTTAAATAATTTTAAAATTTTGGTTTGATCTGATTGTATGTTTACTTTTCAGGTAATCGATATGGTTATGAAATTGCTTCACTGTACAACTTCGTTGAAATGTGGAGTATAGCTATTGGAATACCATTTATTGCATCTGATCTTTACTTTTTACTGCATTATAGTTACAGTCTTAGTATTTTCCATGCTTTTTTAGGTTTTGTACTTGTTGCTGGTATTGTGATTGGTACTCATTATATGATTTTAAGTTATTTGAGTCTTATCTTAATAGGTAGCCTTTTGTCAGTTGTTGTTGTTGGTTTTTTAAATGAAAATTACTGGGCAATGGCTGGAGCATTAAGTTATTCTGTAAATTTATATGGCATAAAACATCATGGAACTATTGGTAGAGTCCCTTCAGTAGATCTCTACACAGTTGGTCTTTGTTTTTTTAATTATTTTATATACAAAGCTCTAACAGATGTATCTATATTTTGAAAAATTCTTATTACAAAGTAATATGTTGAAATATAATAATGTGTATGTGCAATTGTATAATATATCACTGCCATTCAATTCAGTGTGTAACGAAAGGAAAATTTACTATTTTGATACGTACTACATCCATGTTAGAATTATTTATTCAACTTGTTTAAATTATCAGTACAAAATATTGTGAATACATTCGTTTTTGATATTAAGTAAGAAAATTAACTTCCAACCAAAAAATTGTTGAATGGTATGGTATTCTGTTAATACACAAGTTAACAGAACTGAAGTATAGCCTATATCAGAGAAAGATTAAGAATTATTGTTAAATTTGTTTTTATAATTATTAATATTAACAATGATAAAAAATAGAATTTTCTGAACTTTTCAATATTGTAATTATTTATTGATGTATTTGTTGAATAATTGTTGGAATTTTTATAGTTTATTCTTAAAATTTTGATTCAACATATAGTGTGCTTTGCAAGTTGATCTTTGCATTATTCTTCTTCTTCATTTAGAAGAATTGTTTGTAAATATATTCCTTTTCCATGAGAAAAATAGTAATAGTTATTTGTGGTAAATACATACATAACTATTGACAACATGTTTGGTTTACCTTTTAAAATTTATTATTAATTTTCTGTATGTAATTAGTATTTGTTGTGTATGAATAATATATAGTGAAATGACTACATATTAAGGTTTTTGTATGAACATTTTTGTTGCAAGTGTGTCATACTATTTTTAATAGAAATATTGAATTTGTAAAGATATGTCTAAAATCAAAGCATTAGATACTATTTGCAATGAAAGAATTTAGCTGTTGCAAATAGATTTTATGCAATTTTTCTGTGAAGACTGATTTATAGTTTTATGAAACTATGTAAGAACACAATACCAAAGAGTTAGGATAGAAAAAATAAAGCATGGATTGATGTTATTGACAGTCAACTGGGGAAGAAATATTTAACTGCACCATTTTTCTATCTTCAGACTGAAAATGACATATGGAAATGTGGACATTTAAGAATCAATTTGAAAGTAAACTTCATAAATTGAATTATTAATTTCTTAAGTGAAGTTAATCAAAGTGAAGAAAGTAATTGAAATCTACTTAATTTATAATTTACATAGATGAATTCGTTTTTTATGATTTATGATTCGTTTTTTAAATGAATAATTGAAGTAATTTCAAATCTTGAGTCACTCTACCCTGCATTTCTCAAAATGTGGTTACCACCCTTGTGGAATTTATCATTTCAGAGGGTAATAATTTATAGTTAACATGAAAAAACAAGTTACTGATCTTGAATTTAATTATCAAGATTTGCATAACATTTATAGCTTTGTTGCCAAAGTTCCAATCTTCATTTAGGTTATCAGTAGTATTTTTAATTGTAATTTGAACGCCAAAATTGTCTTCCACTTTTGACCAGAAAATACCTAATGTTCTGTAAATTATATCTTTCATTTAATGTAGATTGTATATAACATCAAGATAATGTAATATTAATGATATTTTCAGACTAAAATGTTGGAAGTAACAAAAAGAAGCAAAATGTACCTCACTGACTTATTATTTTGCTTATTTGTGTTAAAATATCCCAAGAGTGTTTTAACTCATTGATAGAAATATATAACTAATTAAATTACTAATTTGTGTATGAAGTTATTAATTACTCTTTGTCATTGCCTTTTAGAAAGAAGGTTTTACCTCCGGAACATAATGTTCTTTTGGTGCCATGCAATTATTACTTCCCTCTTAATTTCCTTGAAAGCAAAATGAATAAAAAATAAGTAGCCATAATTTGTGTTCAAGATAGAAGGCTGAAATGCCAGGTCCCAAACTTATCCAAAAAGAAAGGTGTAGCGAAACTAAAAAGTTAAAAATGCTCCCATTGTTGTGAACCAACTCTCTGTGGAACGTGTTAACAAAGATATACCAATTTTCAGACCCTTTCCCTTTCACTCCCATTTAATAAAAAAATGTGCTTTTATAGATTTTTGTGTATATACTGTTAAAAGATTTTGCACCTGGAATGGGTAAGAATAACATTTTGTAAAATCGCAATAATAAAAAAAAAAATTTTTTAAATTTTATACAGGAAACTTGAATTAAAACATGGAAAATTACAAAATATTTATTTTTATTTCAGAAACTACTGAAGAAAAACAATTGTGTATTAGCAGGCCAAATATCTGTGAGAATTTTTTTTTTTTTTTTTTTTTTGAAGAGACAAACATACTTTAAACAATGAAAAAACTTATTTTGCACTATTTTTATACTTTTGTGCATGGGCAAAGAATTCAAATTTCCCACCAAAACTCAATAATACATTTTACATTCCCGAATACATACGTGTATACAAAGTAAAATAGTAGTATATGAAAAGTTATGCAATGCTGTGGAAAATCGATTTAGAGATTTTAACAGAAATACACGTTCTCCAAAACGTCAGTCTGTCCGCTTGTTTGGTGTATGTGAACAACACTAGCACTACTAGCACAAATCATGCGTGCGATTTTTTCCAATCTGAATATACCCCTCTCAATCTGGCCCGAGTCGAAGCTCTGCGATTTTGAAAAACATTCATTAATTTTTGGGGTACTTTACATGAAGTCCCCCGGACATTTTTCAAATTTCTTCAAAATCTTCTCGAATTTTTTTTCTTTAAACTTTTAGTAACAATAATGAAAAATGTACTTAATGAGATGACATAAACATCAGTTTGCTTTATTCTCTTGTTTTTTCAAAAATAACGATAATGTAATTTTATTGACTGTCTCTCGCGTCGTTAATATCGCCACTAGCGGTGATTTGTTAACATGTTTATGAGTACGTGTGTTTTAAATGTCATAAAATTTATCAATACCACGACCGTTTTTTGTGAAAACTAGCTCAAAATTCCGCATTTTCGGAAATGCTCAAACGCCTTTTTTTAAGAAAAAACTGTTCCAATTTTTTTTCTTCAAAGTTTTCGAATAGATAGTATTGATTGCACTCTTTAATATCACAAAGTTAATTTTGTATTTTTCGAGAATTATATATATATATAATTTTAATATAAATATTATAATATATTATATTATAGTACCGGCCCGTCGGTCGACGGTCGGACGGACGGGAACGGACTGACGTTCGTTTTGACAAAAAGACAACACTTTTTCGGTATCAGGGGACCAGAAAACGTGAATTTCCGTTGAAATCTCGAAATCGATTTTCCGCAGCATTACATAACTTTCTCTATACTACATAGATTACTCCAAATGCAGGGCGAGTCAGGGCGAAAGGTACATGCTTGAGGGGTGATACTACTGGTGATTCCGAACAAAAAACTTCTAATAAACATATGCCCTTTTCTTAAACGTTTCAGGGTAAACCAACGAAAACAATTAGAAACGGAAAAAGTGTAGCGTCATTACTAACCGTTTCTGTACGCAGTTCATGTGCGCATGGTGCAGTCGTTTACTTCACGTCGCAGTTTGACAGTATTTGTCCTAGTGCACGCTACTTCAGTGTTGTTACGCGAACAAAATACACTGTACAGTTTAGTGTAGTGAAAATACCACGGATCTTCACACAGACAGAATATGCTAAAATGATGTTTGTGTATGGTTTGTCCAATGGGAACTCCGGAGCAGCCTTTCGAGAATGCCAACAACGATTTCCTAATCGCAGAGTGCCAGATAGCAGGGTGTCTAGCAAGGCGTTTTACAGATTGCATGAGAGTGGTACGCTTCTCAGCGTAAATGTATCTGAACGTCCCGTACAACAAACTCTTAACGAACTTAAGACCATTCTTCAGTTAATATAACGCAACCCAACTACCAACTCTACAAGAAGAACTGCTCAACTTGACATTCCACAAACATGAGTGGTACGTGCAGTACACGAGCAAGGTTGGTATCCATTTCATCGGCAGAGAGAACACCTGCATGAATGAGATGATGACCATCGGTAAGAATTCTGTCAATGATTGATTGCCAATGATCGATTAATTCCATGTATTCTGTTCACTGATGAGTCAACATTTTCCCGCAACGGAATAAACAATACCCACAATTCTCACGTATGAAAATGAAAATGCAGATGAAAATGCGCACACTACTAAGGAAACGAATTTTAAACGACGTTTCTCAGTCAACGAGTTGTGCTGCATTATTGATGACCAACTCAGCTGTTTTAGATAACCGTCTTAATGGAGCACGGTATCTTGATTTTCTTCAAAATGTGGTACCAGAATACGTGGAGGATATATTTTTGGCAACACGAACTCGAATGTACTTTCAGCATGATGGAGCTCCTGCACATTCCGTACGGCAAGTGACACAATATCACAACGAAGCTTATCCTGGTCGTTGGATCGGTTGCCGTGGAGTCATTGCTTGACCACCGACGTCATCCGATCTTTCCCCATTGGATTACTGTTTATGGAGTTGGCTGAAGAAGGAAGTGCAGATCTCATTAAAATCTCATTAAACTCGCAGGAACTGCTCTCTCGTATTTTACATGCTTGTGCTCAAGTAAAGGAATGCAGAAATGACCTCAGATCATCAACATAACACCTGACAACAAGAGCAGCAAAATGCATTAAAGTTGACGTTCGACTATTTGAACATCTTTTGTAAGGAAACTTATACCATTACAAAAACAATAACATAACATTATCTTCATTTACTGTCACCTGCACTTTTTTCGTACCTATTTGTTTTCATTACTATGAAATGGTTAAGAAAAGGGCTTATGTTTATTAGAACGTTTTGTCCGGAATTATCAGTAGTATCACCCCTCAAAGCATGTGCGTTTCTTCATGAGTCATCCTGTATATGTACGTACACGAGAAAGTAACTAGTGGTGCCAGAGGAGACTTTCTCGTAGTAAAGTTTTCTAATTTCCTTGGTGTGGACTGGCTTTACGGTCTTGGCCCATCCTCTTATTAGCTGCCATCTACCTCCGCCGTAAGTTTCGAAAACTCAAAAAGTATCATTGAAAAAGAGCTTCAAATTTCGCATTTATGTAAAGCCTCATCGCCGTTTTCTTAAAAACGGCACAAGTGTAAGTCCCAAATAAAATGTTTTCTGCGGCACAATTGTTTCCATACAATTAGGGCCTATACCGAACATTAAAAATTAACGTAATATTAATTTTAACAATGATATTTAATGTATTTATTATTTAATATATGTGTGATATGTATATATGTATGATATTTAATGTATTAATTGTCCTTTGGACAATATTGTTCTTAATAGCCTGCAACAAATATTGTACACCATCTTCTGGATCAATGGCCCCCCTTCTCGATAAGGTTTTCGTCCAGTTTCCCTGATCATTTAAGCGAATGCCAAGATGCTCCCTTGTTTTTCATCCGGAAATAAATGTAACTTCATTCTCTGTGCACGTGTTTGTATAAGATATTTCATCCTTCCCAGACGAGCAACTATTTTTAAGGAATTTATCAATTTTCGTAGCATGGGTGTGATTTTTTTGGTTCCAGAAGATTTAAAGATTAGTAGTATTACTGGTTACAGTATTCTTCTTTGAATTAAGGAAATTGATAGTTAAATATCCTTGTCAGAAGGATAATCAAGAAACATACCTTCATGTAGTAGGTGTATATTTTTGTGAGTTCTCCCATTGTTAATTATATTCCACAATGTTTTAGATTTGTTTGTCGAGTTGTTAACTTTATGATTTAATTAATAAGCTTTCTCATTCATCAGTTTTAGCCTATAATGTTGTTATACTGTTTGTACTTCTCATTGAAATAAACATACTTAGTATCTTTGAAAGGGGTCATACAAGTTTTACATTTTATTCTTAAAAGCGACAATTTCATTAGGAAGCTTGATTTTGGGTTTCTTCACGACATTAATTTCCTTTTAATAATAATTGGACATGCAATATTTAAATGATGATTTAATATACTCAAGAAAAAGTTCCATTTCTTGTCGATATCATTACCATTGAGTACTTCAGTTCATTCCTCTTTTAGGAGACATTCATTTAACAACTCTAGTTTAGTACCACTTGTATCACTGAAGAATGTGTATTTAGGTTGTTCAAGGCTATAGAGGCACTTAATTATTTCATTGATT